AAAATGTAAATAAACATTGGAAACCAAAATAAACAGACCAATGTTTGCAAACAAAGCGAAATTTCAAAGTTTTCGAAATTCGGATTGTAAATTTTCGAAAATTTTTCAAAAACAAAGTGTTTTTACATTAAAAAAATGTAAATAAACACTGGAAACCAAAATAAACAAACCAATGTTTTGCAAACAAAGAAAAATTTCAAAGTTTTTGATATATATATATATATATATATATATATATATATATGTATGTTTCAATTGCTGTAGTTTATTAGATGATCTATTATGCAATGAAATCATCTACACGTGTGGACGGTTCATACTGGGTAAGTATGGGTAAGTATTCGTATGTTAACTTAGTTCTAAGTGAATTATTATGAAATCATTTCTAACACTTGTGGACAATTCATGGATACTGGGTAAGTATAGGTAAGTATAGGTAATTATGCAATCGGAACTTCGAAAAATTTGAAATTTCGCTTTGTTTGCAAACATTGGTCTGTTTATTTTGGTTCCCAATGTTTATTTACGTTTTTTTGATTGTTTATTTTGGTTTCCAATGTTTATTTACATTTCTCGATGTAAACACACTTTGTTTTGAAAAATTTTTGAAAATTTGCAATCGAAATTTCGAAAACATCCAAATTTCGCTTTGTTTGCAACATTGGTCTGTTTATTTTGATTCCCACTGTTTATTTACGTTTTTTTGATTGTTTATTTAGGTTTCCAATGTTTATTTACATTTTTTTTGATGTAAACACACTTTGTTTTGAAAAATTTTCGAAAATTTGCAATCGAAATTTCGAAAACTTCCAAATTTCGTTTTGTTTGCAAACATTGGTCTGTTTATTTTGGTTCCCAATGTTTATATACGTTTTCTTGATTGTTTATTTAGGTTTCCAATGTTTATTTACATTTTTTTTATGTAAACACACTTTGTTTTGAAAAATTTTTGAAAATTTGCAATCGAAATTTCGAAAACATCCAAATTTCGCTTTGTTTGCAACATTGGTCTGTTTATTTTGATTCCCAATGATTATTTACGTTTTTTTGATTGTTTATTTTGGTTTCCAATGTTTATTTACATTTTTTTGATGTAAACACACTTTGTTTTGAAAAATTTTCGAAAATTTGCAATCGAAATTTCGAAAACTTCCAAATTTCGCTTTGTTTGCAACATTGGTCTGTTTATTTTGATTCCCAATGTTTATTTACATTTTTTTGATTGTTTATTTAGGTTTCCAATGTTTATTTACATTTTTTGATGTAAACACACTTTGTTTTGAAAAATTTTCGAAAGTTTGCAATCGAAATTTCGAAAACTTTGAAATTTCGTTTTGTTTGCAAACAGTGGTCTGTTTGTTTTGGTTTCTAATGTTTATTTACATTTTTTTGGTGTAAACATTCGTTATTTTGAGATATTTTCGAAATTTTGAAATTTCGCTTTGTTTGCAAACGTTGGTTTGTGAACTAATCATTTACTTATCGATTTCGACGATCTCTAAAGATTATTTATATGTTAAATATTTATAATATAAAAATAATATAAATAAATGTTATTTGTAATGTATTAGTTATAATTTAAAGATTTTAATTCATTACATATTTATATGTTGTGATAAATCGTTAAAACATGGATCTGCTTAGAGCTCTTCCTGACATGTACATACATATGTGTAAGATGATTTCGATTAGTTATTAGCTGCAATACATTTCGGTAGTATTGAAAGTTTGACTACGTTGTAATGGGTTTCAAAAATCATATTTCTGGCGCATTCACTACTTGACCAATCTCGATCGTTTTACTTGATACAATTCCCCAATTCACCGTTGTTTAAACGTAGAGTGCGGTAAAAAGTGATTTTTTACTATGTCGTTATTTCAGATCACCGTCCACGTAACCTCGTAAGGTGCTAGGTCTATTCATACCTCGTCGGTATGCACGTGATCAGTGATTTTTCTGGTCGATATTTCAGACTCTGGGACACCAAATCTCTTTTGATGCCTGATTTATTCTATCTTTAGTCAATGACTAAGAAATTTTTGCTGGAAGAACAGCAATATCATTAGTTCCATTGTTTCACTGCTATGCGACGCTAGCATATAAATCCCAAAAAACGCGGACAAATTTTCAGTTACAAAAAAATTAATTAAGGTGATTAATTCATGAATTTTTGCGATTCCGTCTTTAAAATTAGATTTCTAAGTTTCTTTTAATATCCCACTTGATCTGTAAAATTCATGCATATTTACAAAGAACGGAACAGCCGCTCAAATAATATCATAAAACTAAATTCAATTGTAAGTTATATGAAATAAATTAATTGCTTTAAAGTTAAAGAATTCAACTGTTTAATCATTTTCAAATTCTTAACTCTGTCTCTCTTTAATATTTTTTAAATAATTTTAAAAAACAAGAACAAATAGTTCTTTTAAAACTTATATTTTCTTAAAATCATTTAGTTAAAAAAAAAACAAATTACATGTTACATTTAGTATCAATATATAATACAGTCAAAGAGAAGTAAAAAAAAGAAAAGTAGATAATAAAATGTAAAATAATTATTTCATTTGAAAGTTTCATATCACAGACAAAGATCAATAACAACCTAAATCAATTTATTTTGTTTTAGCTCTTCTAAGTATTGTATGTGTTCTTCTCTTTTTAATACCATTTTTTCTACTTTTGGCGGCAAGTTAATTCCAACTATTTTGGATACTGCGCTTCTTTTTACTACACCAACATCTTTTCGTTTATTACGCTGTGACTTCTTTTTGATCTCTTTTATTTTATTTTCAGACAAGTGTAGTACCTGCATGTGTTGCGCTAATCTTTGTTTTGTTCCAATCTTGATTTTGCATATATCACATTCATATTTCTCTCCAAGATGATAAGTCCTTATATGATGAGTTAAATTACTCTTAAAGTAATAACTACGAGGGCATTTTTCGTATGGACAAGGTATAACAGGTCTATCTTCCTTGTGAATTTGAGAATGAATTCTTACATGGTATTTGTTTAAAAACGTTTTACCACATTTCGTGCATTTATAATCTGAAAACAAAACTACACCAATTTCATCTTCATTTACAAAAAAAAGGAGTAAACTTTAAAAATTAATATTTACCAGATACATGCTGGGTTTTCATGTGGGCACAAAGAAGCAGCCATTTTTTAAAAACTTCATTACATCCTGATATACTACACGGATATTGTTTACCTCCTTTTTCATGATATAATTTATGTTTTTTAAATTTTTTAAGATTCTCAAAACTTTTATCACATTCACTACACTTATACACAACTGGATTATGTTCTGCCATATGTATCTCTAACTGATACTTTTTGACAAACGTCAAATTACATTCTTTGCAAATTAATTTATTATAATTCCTATGCATAGTGTTATAGTGACGTTTCAAGTTATGTTGATTACTAATACATATTGAACATTCTGGGCAGCTTAAAACAAATTAAAGTTAATAAAGTATTCTTGTAAAAAAGAAGATTTACTTACATATACACCTTCTTTACTAGATTATGGGTTTCCATATGCCGTTTTAAATGACAGTTATTAGTGTAAGCTTTATTGCATTCTGGATAAGTGCATTTGTAATTTCTCTACAAATCCATAAACCATATCTAAATTAAATTAACAAACATATATGTATATGCATAAGATACAACCATTACCTCCCCTGTATGAACTCTTATATGTCTTTTTAATCTCGATGGTTTACGAAAAGATAAATTGCACCCATAAGTGCATTTATATGGCTTTCCATCTTGTTTTATTTTAACAGCAACGTCAGTGTCTTTTATCATGTTATCAGATTCAGACAAAGTACTTTCAGATTCTGAATTTAGATTGTGTCCCATTATGAATTATTTTTTTCAGAATATTCTTAAAAATAAATTGTTGCACATTAAATATAATTATACTTATTATTATACATATTAAGTACTTATAAATATTTGTAACATGTAACATATATGTTTATATTTTACTTATATACATATTCTATTACCTTAACTTATTACTAGTTATTACTATTACCACTATTACTATTACCTTAACTGTTATTACTATAATCTTACTATAACCTTAACTATTATTACTATTATTACTATAATAATAATAATAATAATAATAATAATAATAATAATCTTCTTTTGTAATATTTACTATTTTAACTTAACTGTAATAACAAATTCATCAAATATTTTACACACATTACATACAAAATACTTTTTCTCACTAAAATATTAATATTGATACATCACCAAGTGTTATTCACACTGTTCGACATGATTGCTACCAATCAACGAGTAATCAGTTATGTTTTAGACGAGTTAGATTTTTGAATAATTTTTTTAGTAGTAATTGACAGTGAGCTTTTGCATGGCTGGGCACGTAATTAATGTCATTAAGCTTCAGTATCATCAAAGCTATATGATATCATATATTTTGCAAAAAATCTTGCGAAACGAGTAATAGATGAAGAAAGGTTAGATTTACCTATGTTCGTTTGACAGCATATGAAGGTGAGATCCGATGTCAAATTAATATTACATAAATAGAACACGAGCTAATTCTAGACTGTGATATATAAGCGCAAAAATATTATTTTTAAAGGACGTATCTATAATCTTGAATCGTGGAAGATGCGATGCGTATAAAATTCTGCAAGAGGTTAGATCATCTTTGATGTTTGACGTTAGATTTTAGTTTTGTATTAAATAATAGTGTAATTTAATATTGTAATAATACAAGATATTCATATTGAGTTTTTGTATGAACAACGGAAATTACAATGCGCATTCATGATGAAAAAACATTTCGCGCCAGGATAGTGCTAAACATAGCACTAACAAAAATAATAATTGCTTATTTTTAAAATTAAATATAATCAAAAAGAAAATATAATAAAACGATTATAACTATGAAAAACAATTAACTCTGATACGTGTAAATAAATCAATAATTAAAATTTCAAAAGAGATATATTTAATAAAATATTTTGCAAATGTTTGAGTTCAGATTCTATTATTCAAAAGTTATGTAATTTATATTTCAATTAAATAAATGTTATAAATATCAGAATCTTCAGAAAAATAATGGGTCAAACACTCAGTGAGCCTGTGACAGCTAAGAAATTAGCATGCTGTAGAAACTCAAACTATCGAGTTGGGAGTTCTTGCATGCAAGGATGGCGTATAAAGATGGAAGATTGTCATGTTCATATACTTTCATTGCCTGATGATCCTGGTACTGCATTTTTTGCAGTATATGATGGTCATGGAGGTGAGAACGATATCAAACTGTAATTTTTTATATTACAAGTCAAAGATATCATTATATTGTTTAATATTATACATAAAACATCAATTTGAGCAGAAAAAATATGCTTCAAAAGAAAATTTCAGGTTCTATTATTGTTACTGTAAATAGGAAATTAAAGTAAATAAGTCTAACTATATAATTTTTTCCATGCTCAAAGTGATAAATAAACATTAATAGGTGCAGCAATGGCACAATATGCTGGAAAACATCTTCATGAATACATAACTGGAAGAAGTGAATACAAAGCTGGTAACATTGTTCAAGCTATACAACAGGGCTTTTTGGAATTAGATAAAGCAATGCAAAATGATGCAGTACTTAAAGATGAACAAGCAGGAACTACTGTTATAGCGCTTCTTATAAAGGACAATGTTATATATAGTGTAAGTTCTTTCTAATCTACATGTTTTCCTTTCTTTCATTGTTGCTCTTATTAATTTATCCTTACAGGCAAATGCAGGTGATAGTAGGGCAGTGGCAAGTATTAATGGTAATGCTGTTCCGCTTAGTCGCGATCATAAACCTACATTAAAAGACGAACGAGAAAGGATCGAAGCTGCCGGTGGCTGGGTTGAATTTAACAGAGTCAATGGTCAATTAGCACTATCCCGTGCTTTGGGCGATTTTATGTTCAAACGCAATGAACGTAAACCACCACAAGAACAAATCGTAACTGGTAACAAATAATAAATAACAATATTAAATTTCTAACAAAAAATTAATACATATATGTATTTATAGCTTTTCCTGAAGTTCAAGAATTTCATATAACAGAGGATTGGGAATTTGTTGTATTGGCTTGTGATGGTATTTGGGATGTAATGACAAGTAATGAAGTAGTCAATTTTATAAGAACACGTTTAGTCCAGTCGAAATTTGGAGCAGGAGAAGAACGAGATACAATGGATCCTGAAGAAATTTGTGAAGAGCTTATGAAACATTGCCTTGCGCCAGATGCCTTAATGGGCACTGGTTGCGATAATATGACAGTTGTTCTTGTATGCCTTCTTCATGGAAAACCATATTCTCATTTAATTTCACGCTGCAAGGAGTCCATTAGTGCAAATTAGTTGTATAATATTGATATAATTTATTATTTTGTTAATTATTTAAAATTCTTTGTATTTAATTTTATATCACAACGTCTCATTGTCATGCTTTAGCATGTTAAAATTTATAAAATTTGCTAAGCTTTTTTATGAACTTCCATTGTTTCAAGTTTTATGAACACAGATCTCTTAAGAAAAAAAAACTGATTTTACATCAATAGTACTTAATCTTTCATTGTAATTATCAACTTCTTATTCATAATTTTAAAAAGCAACTTACATAAGTTGAATTATAAGTTTTTATTTACAATTTCAAACAATGGACAGGAAGTGTCCAAATATAAGTTTAGTAACAATTTTAGTAAAATGCAGTAAATTTTCATTCAAAGTCCATAACGGTCTTGTAAAGAAGAAACAGCCGCATTGGCAAGAGAACTTATTCTGTCTGCAACCTTATTTACTCCCTGACGTACGCTTTCTCTAACATCATCTAAATCGACTCCAGCTCTCCCACCACTAAGACGCATTGACAAAGAAGACGTGGGGGATGTTGCTGTAGAACTTGTGCCAAAATAATCAGCTGATGAAATACTAGATGAACCTTCAAAACGTCGCAAATTGCTTTTACGTTCCCACTGTAATTAATGATTTAAATTTTATTTTAAATAGAAAAATAAAACATATAGTAGAAATATTAATATATGCCAACTCACAGAATCATCATCTTTGCTGTCCTGAAAATACTGATCTGAACTAATAGCCTTAGCACTACCAAATTTCTTTTGTGCTTCTCCTTCTACTACTGTTTTACTATCATTCTTAATATTATTTGGTTTGGATGGAGCTACTCGTTTTGGTGGTTCTGGCTCTGCAATAACAATAACTTCTTCGTTACGAGATTTGTTGTTGGTATTGCTACTGTATGGGGTTGATAAGGCCGCATAAAATTCGTCTAAACTAATAAAAAGATCTCGTTCAATATCAACATCTCTCGATCTTGGTTCAGAAGCAGTTATAGTCTTTGATGATGTTTCCTGTGTTATTGTTCGCATATCACCAAGTGCGGAGTGACTTGCACCACTGTAAATTGTATTTACTTTAATTTTACACATTACGTTATCATAAATCATAATTCTTCGCTTAAATAACAGTATTTTATATATATGCAAACGTACAAATTAAATATAAACATTACCTTCGTGTATTGAATCCCATGCCGAGACGTTCTGCTTGTGTTGCTTTGACAGGATCTAATTTTTTTGTTCTCTGTTCTATCTTCTTAGCTTGTTCACTTAAATTTTTTTCATAGCGATAAGCAAGTCGAGTAGCAATTTCTTCTTGTTCTTCTTTTGTATTTTCTTGTTGATTCTTTTCCTGTGATTCTTTATTAGCTTCAGCAACACTTCTTTCTAATTCATCAAAATTTGTTTTAACTCTTTGAGCACCCAATCCACCAGCTTTCTTTCCCAACTATAAAAAATATAATGATTAATAAAACCATTTTAATTGAAAATGTGTTAGTATTTTAAGATTGTATTACAAAAGTCAAAATGAAAAGTCATTAAAATATGTTCAACATAAGTAATGAATAAATAAAGAATCATTTGTATACATACACCACTTCGTTTATTTTGAATCTTTCTGATGCCTATAGTAGGTTTCCTTTCAGATACTAAATTTGAGGTAGAATCAGATAACTTAACAGTAGGTCCTAAAGAGTTAGTAGCAGTTTCTAAGCTATCTTTTTGATTACTTTTGTCCTCATTGTCATTGTTTGATATGGAATTAGAAGCAGGAACTGAATTTCCCTCAATATGCACTGAAGATTGATTATGATACACTTCAGTATTTTCATGTTCTTTAAAAAAATCAACTTCACCTTGCTCTTCAACTGTTGATGCTGGACCATCATCTAGATGCAGCTACAATAAAACACGACTTTATGAAAAGTTAATTACTTTAAAAATACTTTTAAATATAATTCTCTTTTTCCTTTTTTATGATGCTGTATTTTACGTAAGATACACACATATTAGACACGTTAGTCATATAATGGAAATAATCTCAAATAAATCTATTGGTGTAACAAATGAAATAGAACATACAATGATATATGAATAATTTTGAAAAATAGTGCATATGCTTTTGTAACTATTAATAACTGAATATAAAAATAATGTATTAATCTTCACAATGCTATCTTTGAAAATAAACTTTTAAGCAAGTATTAGTAATTTGATGATGCTTTTGTAAAAGAAGTTTTACAGCTCACCATTGTCTTATTTTTTGTTGAAGGAAGAAAAACCTATAATTATCATATTTGTAGTTATAAAATATTTAACTGAACTGTACGTTCTTTATGGTGCATACACACATGAAAAGAACATAAATCTTACCTTTGTTCCATAACGTTTCATTGCTTGAGCAGATGCCTGTGCCAATTTTTCTCTATATTGCATAGCAGCACGTGAATTATACTTTTGCTGAGCATCAGTTGTTGTACAATTGTGTTGTGCAAAATATTTTCTCTGGAAAGTATATAAAAATCTATTTCGAGCTACATTATTATCAAATAATTTTAAGTATTTAATAAAATGATAATAAACTTATCCTAATAATAGCTATCTTTAAGCTTTACTAACAGCATTTGCATTTCCACCAAGTTGCATGTTCCTCAATTGCAACCAAGTCCAATTTGTATCAAGTTGAGTAGATCGAACAAATGTCAAGTGAACCCCTAATCCTCGATGAACTGCAGAGCAGTCGATGCATAGGAAGACACCGTATGTCACACTGGACCACGCTGGATTTTTTGCATTGCAATCGAAACATGTCTACAAAGAATCACAATACTACATATATTAAAAATTACAAAAGTAAAATATATATTATAATAATTTGATTAATTGCTCAATTATAAGTTTAATTGATGATCTAATACGCCAGAATTATGAACTAATATTTTTGAAATATAAATTAACATGCCTTGCAATGTGTGTCATTATGAAACAAAAGATTCTAGGAAAATTACAGGTTGGGAATGAAAATATGATGTTAATGTTGAAATTATTTCAGATCAAATATTTTGTGTTTTTATATAATTCCATTTTCAATGTCATATAGTAAATTAATAAATGAAGAAGCAAACCTTATTTGTCGGAATAGCTCGTAATCTTTTAAAAATTTCCTCAATATCACTTTTACTAGGTGCTGGATCTGCCATTTTTGACGTGTTGTCAATGGCCTCGCGCAGTATTCTGGGACGCGTGGCGATAGCATATTATAGTACGTAGAGGTCGCTTGCTTACAATTTGAAGCAGTTAATTTAATAGAAGCCTGTTATTTCAAATTTCGAACAAATAACGAGTATATCAATTATTTTTAATATAAGAATATGACTTGATTACAAATTATTTTTAAATATTCTACATACGATATAAATTTGTTAAATATCTTTATCTGTGTTGAGCTTTCTTATTGATTTAATAATACATTATATTATATATACAATTTTAGAGATATTACTAATATTAAGAATTTGTTACAAATTTCTTTTTTCACGAAACAAAAATAAAATTTTAAACTATGTACGTAAGCTATGAAACTAATTTAAAAGCATATCAAGATCTTTTTTTATCATTTGATGTATCAGGTCGTTGTCCAGTATTCGGAGAGTCGCTTACATTTACTTCTTCTTCTTCTACTTCCAAGTTATTTAATCTATAATCAATGACAGTGTAATTGTAACACATTATAATTACAATATATAAATTATAATTTATAAAAATTAATATTTATAAAAATAACTTACTCATCTTGTTCAAGACTATATAACATTTGAAAGCCAGCATCAAGACTAGGAGGGAAGCCCATTTCAGGATCTAACAGTTGGAGGGTTGGCACTTCTCGATAAACATTTCCGAATTCATCAAGTTCCTCAAATTGTAACTTATTAGCTGCTTCATCTAGAACCATCCTACAAATTAGACAAATATTAAAAAAACTGAAAGATTTCTTCTTCAGAAACATTGCAGCTACTCAATACAGTTAAATACTTAGAACTATAAGCATTAAGTTCAAGTTGCCTCTGTTTTTCCATCATTGTTTCAACCTTTCTTTTCATATTCTCTTCATATTTCAACACATATTCTTGATAATAATCATAAAGCGCAGCTACTCCACCAACACCTGTTTCCACTAATACCCTTTCTAGTATATCCTATAAAAATAAAGAATACACAAATATTTTCTTAATTTTATAAATTTCTTATTTTTATAAAGAGTAATTTGATATTTTTTTACCGGAAAACCATGATCTCTTTGTTCATATGCTGCTTTCATCAAAAGTGTCATTCTTCTTAGAAAATGATCTGCAATATCTGTTAGTGTTTCTATGGCTATATTTGAAGACTTTTCAAATCCAATGTGCGCCAAAAGAGTAATGATTGCATGCTTCAATATAGACCGAGCTGCCTCTGGTGTGAGATAGTGTATTGTAGAAGCATCTTTAAATACATTTCTAAAATAAAAATATTATTACTATTTATACATATAAATTTACACATATTTACATAAGTTTACACATATAAATTCTAATACCTTTCTTGTACAGGTGAAAACTGAAATGAATTTGAGGTTTCTTTTCTTTCTGGCAAATCATGAGCTTCAATTGTTGTCATATTTCCAAGTACCATTCCTTCTTCCTAATAATCATTAATGAAAAAATATAACTCATATAATTATTATAACTAATTATTTTACATCATTACCATCATCCTTAGTTGCTGATGAAGATTTATAGTATTTAATACATGAAGATTTCCCATAGGTAATCTGCAGAAAGATAAAGAAAGAAAAAATTGCATAATATCAAGCAAGATTTATTGTCAAATTATAAATATATACATTATACATACTCAACTTGTCTATCCACTTGAAAATCACAATCAAGGTTATTTGATTCCTCTATAACTTGTCTCCAAATATTTTCTATAATATCTGGAGTTATTACTTCTTGTTTTAAAGTCTCTCTTGCTGGCAGTTCTCCCCATAAGAAGCCAGTTCCACTGTTTTTGGTAGATTTCATTGTAAAAATTGTAATTTACATAAAATATATCAATTTTTACATTTATCCTTATTGTACACCTAAAAAAAAAAGAATTCAATTAGTAATATAATTATAAACAATTTTTTAGAATAATTCTTAATTAAAAAATACTTCTATTGAACAAATTTATTTAATAAATAGTATAAATGATACTAAAAAATTATACTTTTTTTATATTAGATTAGATTTTTAATTCGAAAGAAGAAAAAAGATTACTATGCAAATTCTAATATTTTAATAATGTGTCGTATTTAAAAATATAGTCTAGAATATACTGTGTAGAAAAGTAATATACTATTTTGACTGTCAAAGGCAGTTTTTATACGTGCTGTTTTTTCTATTCAAAATTTCGCGCACGAATTGATATGTACTTCAAGTAGCACGATCTGTTGAGAGACCATTATTGCATTTCGATTAAAAACCTGTATTTAGACAATTTCTAATAACTATTTCAGGTTTGCCTTACAAATTATTTAAAAATGATATTTTTAATCAAAGAATTCTACACAAATGAAAGTAAATTCCAATTAATTTTGCATTTTGTTTAAATTACACCAACGAGTAGCTAAATTTTAGGTTAGAATTACAATATTTCCGAGCGCCATTTTGTTGCATTGATGCACAAGTATTAATCGACACAACTTTCGATATATTCGAGAATCGATAATATTTCAAGTATTTAATAATAATGAACAAACTGTAAGAGAGATTTTATATTTTACATCTTATTAAATGAATAACAGGTAAGTAAATATTTATTTTTCCATTTTCCATTCATCTAATATGTTAATTATTGTTAGCAACAATATAAAATTTGTATGAGACTTCTTCGTATAAAATTATCTTATTCTGATAATGAGTAGTAAAAAGTATCAAAAGAAAAAAAGTTACGATTATTTGTTATTGAAAATTTATGACTTATCGTCTTTTCATTGTTTACAATCTCCTACATGTACAACAGATCATGTGTTCGATATTTTTTAAATGATCAAATGGTTCAGAAGTTATCCAAATATTGAAAATGTGTAATACATTTTAAATGTACATAATTGTCTCTGAAAAGATAATTTAATGTAAATCGTTTGACATATATACACAATGGAAAGTGCAGCAGCCTCAATTCTAAAACGAGCGGTAGAAATGGATAATAATAAACAGTATACAATGGCTTTAGTGTTATATCAAGAAGGTGTACAAATACTTCTTGATTCTATGAAAGGTAATATTCAGTTGGCGTTATTACTATTTTATTTCAGTTAACATTGTTATTATTATTTTTACTATTATGAGAAAAGTTAATTCCTTTTAAATATTATAATAAAAAATTTAAGTGCATATCATACATAGTTTTATATATTTTTACAAGCCTTTACATTAATTAACAGATTATTAATATAACATGTAGAAACAAAAGACCAAGCAAAGCAAAAACATTTTGCTACTCGGGCATCACAATACCTAGACAGAGCAGAAAAGATAAAGAATTTGGTTGAAAAGCAAAAAGCAAGTGGGACATACAGAGAATTAATCAAAATTGAAACAGGTAGTACAGGACATGGTTATAGTACTATCTTTGGAAGATTTTTAGATGCAACAGTTACATATATTCACATTGAGGATCCCTACATAAGAGCGTTTCATCAGGTATTTAATTTCAGTTTAGTTTGTAAGTTGCATATCAATATATCTTGAATTAATGTTGTATTTTAGTGTCAAAATTTAGTAAGACTATGTGAACTGGCTGTGAGGAAATGTCATGCATTATCTAAAATATCTTTAATTACAACTGTTGATCCAGAAGATAAGAAGAATCAGATAGCAAGACTAGAAGAATTGAAACAAAGTCTATCATGTCACCTTATTTCTTTCGAATTTAATTTTTCTGATACCTTACATGATAGGCAAATAATGTAAGAATATAGACTATATTTATCGAATTATTTTATTTTATTTGTATTGCAGTTTTATAAAATATAATATATAATGATAAAATTTCTTTTAATTTGTTATATGTATATTTTTATTTCAGGTTTAGCAATGGTTGGATAATTAAAATCGGTCGTGGTTTGGACTACTTTAAAGCACCTAATGGAAAGTTCGTATTAGGTGCTTGTGATCTCGAACTGAGACCTTGTTCTGAAACAACTATAGACATATTTCACAAAAGTCAATTAAAAAATGAACAATAAACAATCAATACGATCAATATTGAAAACTGAGTAAAAATAAATTAAAAGATAATGATAAAGACAATTCAAATTATATCATTTGTAGAATTTGATTTTAACTATTTTAGAATTATAAATGTTATTATAAGTATGTACCTGGTTACATTAAAAGGAGATGTACTATTTTTATCAGTATTTTTTATAATTTTAACTATAATAAAAATATATATGTATAATATATGTATAGTGTCATTATTTTACATTATTTTACAAATATATAAATATAAAATTTTTTTTCTCATGTAATATTATATATTCGACATATATACACTTCAATATTTCATATTAATCTTAACTCAAAGTACTATAATCACTGGCCTTTGCGATGTCAATTTGTTTTGCGGCTCTTTTACATGCCTTTCTTAAGGACTTCGTGTATTTTAATAATCCAGCTTCGATTTGATCTTCGTCTTCGGTTAAAAGATCTTCAGCCTTATAAGATGGAAGACAATCTGCGCCTCCGACAGCAACTACTTGCCTTGCAATCTCTGGATCTACGCATAGTCTTGTAAGCGCTGCAGCAGCAGTCATTTCTAAACGCTTATATGCGTCTTCTAAACCAGGAGGTCGCATTCTAAGAAAGGAAACTAACGCAATAGAGGCACGGATTTCCGCCAGTTGTGTCCGAGCCTCAGGTATACGTGCTAGCTCACTAATAAGAGCTGCTACCTGTTCCATTAACCAAACATTTCTACCAGCTGATTTTTTCACAGTTCTTAGCAATTTTTTAACTGTATTGTGTGCCAATATCATAAATGCAAATTTTCTGGATTTTGACAGGTTATTAAACGCAGCTGCAGCTAGCAATAAAGTTTGACCACAGTTAGTATTTTCGACTAGATGATTTAAAGGTGGTATTAAATCCTTCGCAAAAGGTTCCAGATAAGGCAGACCCAAACCATTGACCCAGGGTGCGGTGATCTGCACAAGCAATGCCGTTGCTTCTGTTTTCTCTTTCTCAGATGTATTTTCTGCTGCTAATAAGTCCGTCAATATTTCCGGACCACCATCCTTGACAAATTGATTTATTGCCATGGCGGAACAACATACGCTCGCTAATGCACGTAAAGAGGCTGCCACAAAATCTACCGAAGTTCTCCCAGCCGTGATTAAGGATGTCAAAAGCGCTCTGATACCTGAACATCTCGTAATGCTATTTCCTGCTCGAGGTCCTACCAAACCTAAAGCAGTTAAAGCCGCTAGTGTTCCTCTAGCTAACATAATATCATCTTTTGGCGCTTCTTCCAATCCTCTGACTATCCTCTGTAAAATAATATTGATTTTTAATATACATTATTATATATATTTTTTCATTGTTAATTATTTCGCAGTATATGTATACGTGTATTATGCAATGAGAATTAAACCTTACTTCGATATAAAAATCCAAGCGTGTATCTACAGCACTGTCAACGTAATTTTTCATGTTTTCCAACTGTGCTAATATTGCTTTCAAGCTAGTTTGCTGAATTCTACGCGGAGGCGGTGCACCCAACTCCGAAAGCAGGGAGAAAGCGTCGTCCTCTATGGCACATAGAAGTTGCTGCTCCGATCTACCGCTTTCTAAATGCGACACTTTACTGCGAAAATATGATTTGTCACTAATATCACACGTAAGTTGTCAATGTTTTCTCGACTCGAAAACATCGAAGATTTATATTCAGAGTTTTGAACTATCCTTAAACACACTTACTTAAAGATATATTGATAATGGCGATCAAATTGTTCAGCTCTAACAAATAGTTTATTTGCAGCAGCCGTAGCTAGAGTCGACAGATTTTTCAAATCATTCATTTCGTCTTTTTCGTTTAAAATTTTCCGATGTTTCCGTCGCGGCAGAGCTTTGCTTTGAAGAGTGTTGCCACACTCGTTGTCAGGTTCCATTGCTAGCTCGCTTAACCATGCTCTCACCGATGAGGATTGTCTGTAAGTTCTGGAATGTAGCAGAGACCTGTACGATGATCCTGTCTCTGAAAAATTAGTCGACGAGTTTGCGCTTCTTGGTGACACCGCATCTTCCGGTGGTTCAGCCGCGTACAAAAAATCCCCAAGACACTCGTCTTCCAAGGAAACAGATGGCGGAATTTTCGACGCATCTACTTGATCGTCTTCCGTTCTGTAAAAGATTAATAAAGTGTCATCTTCAATGAAAGTTATAAATGTAATAAAAAAAATAGTTATTAATAACAGCTCCAAATCCAGAAAGAAATTTAATAGCTAATTCAAGTAACTCGTATCAATTGTCTCAGACAATTAAATAACCGTTTAATCAAACAGTTTTATCATTCATTAAGCTACCCATTATTGTGATAGCTTTATATTATATAAATAGAAAATATATACTAGTTGTCTTTTGTCTAATGTTCGACACCTGATTTCTAATTAATTCTTTTTAGAGTAATATAAACTCAAACTATATCTTTATAAAATATAAGATATAATTGATATAAATGTATCAAGGTAACTATTATTGTTTTACATTTATCTCTTTAGAAGTTTAAAGCATTTCATTCTTTGAGAAAGTATCGTATTTCTTATCTCAACAGTTACAATAGCGTAGAAAATTGTATTCGATGATCGTATACCATGAAATTTATGCAACACCAATTCATCTCACAGTTTTGTTTTATCTTATATCATGAAAAGTCATTGATCTTCGTTCCCACAGTGATTCATCGAAAGAAGATCCAATTTCTGTCTATAAGTATGTCGTTTAGTATGTTACGTAACGATTTCAGAATATGCGCTTACTTTTCATTAATGCTCTTAATATCGGTCAAATTCCACCGTGCTCACGAATTTATGATGTAATGACACAAACAATTATGTTTATCTGTCATCTTTTTAAAAAATTATTATAGCTGCCTTTGTTCACAAACTTTTATACTGTTTCCTTATATTTGTATTGTTTTCTTTTCCAAGAACTTTCAATTTAATAAATTCAACTTGTAATAGGATCTTATGTAAAAATTGTGTTATTTCATTTTTTTTCCAGTTAGTAATCGAGGCATTCGAAAAAAATCTTACAGGTACTTCCTCATTTTTCCAACAGACATCAGGTTTTCCTTAATAAAAATTTCATTTTCAATAATGATAAAAATAACAAAGAGTCTTAGCTCCAAGATCACACTGCATTCATCCAAAAACATACTATGTCTCAAATGCATTCTTCTTCCATCTTATTCCAACAATCAAACAGTATCCTCACTTAATTCAAAAACATGAACTTCCGACAAACAGCATGAAAATGTTAGATTATAGATGGCCCGGATCGTACGGAGAATCTACGGTACCTTAATCGTGCCATAACAAGACAACAGTCTTGGCTACTGTCGTCGCGACATAGTTAAGGCCTAATCACTATCCAATCCGCATGACTAGGTGCACGGATTCCGTCGTGGAACAAACAGAGATCGACGAAGGAACGGATATGTTATAACGCAAAAAGCTGACTAATCGGTCAGCTCCGGAACCAGAATCGTTCTCTCATGGACAACGATGACTAATCCCATTTCTTTGACTAAGCTGCACGCCATCACCTGCACACGATTCATACGGTGGATAGAATTCTTCGTACATTTGCTGTCGTCGCACCAGGACACACCGGGGCCGTGGTTGACTCAAACCACGTCGTTCCTTCATTTAGGTATTCCTCGTGTAGCACGTTGCATTGAATCACGTACCGTACGCGCGTACATCTACAGGGTGTCGAAAGAAACGCGTAGATCTCCTAGACTTGAATCCACAGTGATTGCTAGATATGCTAGATCTAGCTAAAGCCTTCAAGTTCTTGAGATGATTTTCTATACCATTCATAATGTTGAAATAAAATAGAAGTCGAGCGATTCTAAAAAGAAGCAAATGTAAATGAATTGCGTGGCTTACAAGCGAACGTGGCTCACTTCCACGTGACTGAGTATATTTTAGAGGACGAACGTTTTGTGAACTTGGCAAGAGAAAATGAAGATTTAAACGAGCTCTTCTTGGACAATATTAAGTCTAAAATATTTGAGGTAATATAATAAATTCTGTAGCCTACGTTTGCCTTTGTTTTGTGATTGCTTCTAATTTATTTAAGAAATAGATTCTGTATTGAAATTATTAATACGTTCGTCACATTATTTGCATCTTATACTGCTTACTAAAAGTAAAATTGTTAAATAAATCAAAATGGTTGCTGATATTCTGCAATGAAATGTTTTCATGTGCTTTTTGTTGTTTTAGACGCAAAAAAAAAGACAGTCTATTAGATTCATAGATCAATTCAAGTATTAATGTTATGTAAGAGTTTCTAAGGAAATATGTAAATCGATCGTCGTTTGCTTCCCGCTGTTAACGTGGACTCTATAAATTGCTCCAAATACCAGATCGAACTAGACACTGATTGTGAGTTTAATTTGCGTGGTACATATATGTTCGAATGTATATTAATCGATGTTAATTAATGATATGTTGCGGTATTTTCCCACTCGTCCTATTTGCGTTGTTCGGATCCCGTACGATTCAGTAGGATATGTTGATTCAATGATTACAGAACACGTTTCACATTAATTTTATCATCCACTTCCGTGAATATTAATCATACAAACCATCAAATTTAATCTTTAAAAATTGTGTTCTTATGAACGTTTCAACACATTTTTTAATAAAAAAGAAAAAAAAGAAATTTTGATATGATCATGACATCATAACTGAAAAGAAAATTATAAGTAAATTGCAAACTTTCAAAAACTTGCAAAAGAAATAAAGATTTGTTTGCTTATGATATGACAGAGAACTGTGAATATTTTATATATCCTGACATATTCAAATTTTCCATGCGTAAACAGTCTGATTACAATACAAATGTGATAATTATTATAATCGTTCAGATATTTCAGTAGAATATCATATCATTACTGGCGTGCATGACGATTTAATATTTCCGTCTTCAATATCTCTTAATTTATTGTAAAGCGAAAAATTAATTCCCCAATATCTATTCCTTTGTAACATGAAACACCATTATTTCCCGTCTTCCTTCGAGCATTCGTAAAATGTATCTTATCAGAATTGCTAAATTATACAAAAATCTTGCTCATTAGGTTTCATGTCATAAATCAAACACTAAGTCGTTTTCGTCACTATACATCTTGTATAATGAGTATTTAATATTCCCGGCGATGAGTTGCGCTACTTCCAATGCACCTATAGATTGACGACCGATCCACAATATGTACGTACATACACAAGCTCACAGTGTTCCGCCATTGCACAGGGGTAAATGGAAGTTTACGAAACAACCAAAAGAATAACATGGGAAGTGCCTTACGTGTTGCATTCCTATCGCTTGGCTCACTCAAGGGACATTTATCGTGACGATTCATGTTCTTAAAACATACATCCTTCATACCTTATCGATTCAAACAAGGCGCGGCTTGCTCTCAGAGATAATACTCTTTGGTATGAGACCCCTTTCATGGCCCTTTATCGATCAAACCAGACACGTATTCTGAGTTTGAAATAATTATAGTATAGAAAGCAACTGAAATTAGATTTGTGTACTATGTATTTTTTTTCTCACTTTCTTCTCGATAATGATTAGAATGCCGGATTTGAACTACTCTGAATTACTCTGCTATGGAAAATAGATAACTAAATTGAAAATTTTATGTAATAATTTTTATAAATATTTATCTATGTAGATATAAATATCAGTATTTATCATATATATATATATATACATAGAACAAGTGTTAATATTTGTACAGAATAAATATACAGAGGAATAACTTTTGTTAAATATTTACGAGTGGTAGTTAATATGAAAAGTTAGTTATCAATTAATTATTATAATAATTTTTGTTAAATATTTATAAATAATAGTTAATATGAATAGTTAATAAAATATCCTAAACAATTTTCGTATGTAAGACATCAGATCAGTCCATTATATTGTATCTGATCTTAATCATAGGAATTACGTGATTCTTTTTATAAAGACTTTTTGTATTTAAATTACCTGCGTGTTCCTGACATTCCTCGTTCTTCATGCGCATTAAGGATCATCGTACTCCGAGGTAAAACTCTGGAGTCCTTGGGAGTAGAGGTGTACGTTGGATTTGGAATACTCTCATCTTTCAACCAAACGGCACCGATTCTCGAATGCATTCCATGTCGTCGGTCCTTAACTCGCTTTCGTCTCCTTCGACGTCTAGGCGTCTCGTTCTCGTAAAGTTCGGAACAATTCGATCGTTCGGAATCCGAGAAACCGGAATCCAGACTTCGGAGATCTTGACTCAAAGGACTGCACGATCTGTTCGCCAGAACGATATTGTTCTCATTTTCTTTGTCTTCGTCCTTTATCTCCATTGTAGCCCTACAAAATTTCAAAAATTTTTGTGTTACGGTGATTAAAGATACTAAATGTCAGTGCAATTTGTTTTGCTAGCACTTTTTATTAGGCTAAGTTATTAATTAAATTAAAAATTAACTAATATCAGACTAATACTAAGTATTAAAAATTAACTAAAAATTACATATCAATATAAAAAATAATAAACGTAAAATCATACGTTAATCATACAAATAGTAGTACGTTAAAATTAACAAATTTGCGAGATAAAAAAAATATAAGAAAGAATATAGGAAAAGAAAATATAGAAAAGAATATAAAGTATATAAAAAAAAAACAAGACCTACAGTAAATTAAAGCGTAACACTTAAATAATGTTCAATTTATTAAGTACCATTATGTAGAATTAAAATCACCGTCTAGAATGCGAGACTAAAGGCATTGATGTCTCCCAGACACATCTACGGTTCAACGTTACAAAAATCATTCGTGAAACATCTCTAACGCTTAAAAAACTTATCATATGGTTGTGAAACTTAAGTAATTAAAGGTAACGGTATGAATGTAGCATTGTGTGTCAACATGATAAGGAAGAACCGATAATAGTCAAGTCATTACGGCATTACAAATTTTGTCCCGATTTCACCTCGTGAAATAATTCGTGAAATAATTTCACTTACGTCTGAGTCATTAGATTCTCCTCGTCTATCGTCGTCGTCGTAGAATATTGTCGTTCATCGTTTTCGTTCAGGCAGACGCGAATCGCCGTTACATTTTCACCGTCGATTGTGTCGCTGGTGTCGTTGACGCTGGACGAGTGCTCTTCCGCTTCTTCTTCGGCTATTTCAAAATTGCATGCTATATTTTGCTTGACTCTAGCGAAATCGTTCCTCGAGGCGAAAGCACCCAGACTTTCTAGATCCTGAGATGCCATGTAGTTCCAAAACACTTTGCTCTGATGTCTCTTAAACGCGCTCATCTTCTCTATTCACTTTCCTCGGCTAACTTTCGCAACGATCTTAATCTCTTTTTATGAAGTAAATCGGCGTTGAACTAGACGTTCAAGTAAAAATTGATGAAGATGCCTTAAGGAATACTCCCTAGGTGGTTCAGGTTTGGCGGTAACGACGATGATGAGCAGTGGAACAACGCGATGCCACACTGGGGTGGTTTCACGACTCAGCAGAGCGAGACGACCCTCCTACAGGTCGCGTGCTCGGAGAACCGTATGGTGTCTGTCGCAACCCCCATGGAGTATCCAATCGTTTTTTCGCATTGGCACAGAAAATTATTTCCTTTTACACCTCTCCTTAAAAATTTCCTTCTTTTCTTCTTATACTTTCGAAACAATTTCTATGCAAACTGCACGATTTATTGCATGTAACTAAAAATATGGAAATATCAACTTTCAAGTGATAGAGAATTTAATTACAAATTTTAAAGAGGCATTACCAAACTGTTAAATAATTTGGTTTTACACATTGTTTTGCGCATTTATGTGTTATATGTTGCAATGAGTACAGCGATACCGATATTGTTTGAAATTTATCGTGCCAAATCAATGATCCATTAGACGTACACATCGATCGATCGATCTAAACGTATTGGTGCTTCGCGAACGACTGACTCGTATCGGGTCGCTTCCGACTTCGTCCCATAAGTCGCGCTCCCTTCCCGCCTCGGGCTCGTAAGCCAACTCGTATGAAAATAGAGCTCCTCCCCTTCTCTTTTGTCGCCTCCGAGGGGTGCATACCAGTACGTGTACCCCCATGAGTAACCGCCAAAGCGTAACTAGGTGCATTCTCTGTTCAGGGGATGCATTGGTGTCAGTAGGAAGTCCATTCGATTGATTTCTGTCGAACGTAGTACAAGTTAAACATAGATGTTTCGACTTCGATCATTAGTAATAAAAGCAACATTAAAACATTGAAAAGAAAAAAAAATTACATGTTAAAAATAAAATTACATATTTTTAGATACGATATTTATAGCCACCTGTCTTTCTATAAATAAACTTTGCTAAATAAAGAAGACCGTTCATAAACATTCGGTGAGGAGAGATTACAATCGTGCGGATGCAGTATGTGCGCCACGAGCGACGTCACGAAATCACGCCAATGCTATTTTTAAGGGCCAGGTGTGACACCCGGTTCCCTATCGCTCCCGTGTACATATGTGTACACGTGGGGGTCTCCCATGCTGAAGAGGCATTTCCACTACCACCGGATCTAGGGGCACGCGCCGTTCTAGACATCTGCGTGAAATGCTTCCACTGATGAGTGTTCCGCATGTGTGTATGATTCATTTAGCATTCTTTTACGAGTTCGATTGAGTTTTGCGGATTAGTCATTTAAAATTGCGTTACGACTATACGTTAGCGGTGGCTGTACTCTCGAAGATCTGTTATCATTTACATGATATAATATGAAGGCTATACAAGGATACATAATTACAACGTATTAAAAATTATGTAATAATTATATATACATACATATATCTTGTATGTATTTTATGTACAATTAATTGATTATAGTTTTTTTTTTTTTATTTTTAAATACCTTGGACGTTTATGAGCAAATATTTAAATGGACCACAGATTCGAATTACGATTTAAATCACTCACAGCAAAGCATATGACGCATAGTGTAGCAAGTTTTAATCTTGATCTTCCTTTTAGTGAGTATTTCGTGAATCGGTGATGTCACACATTGGAATTTTGTTAGTAATGGATTCGTTTTCCGGACGAGATAGCTTCTGAACGCAATACATAAACTCTTCATAACACTACATTACACGAAAAACTATCTCGAATTGTACCGTAGAATCAATTATGAAGCTACTTTTACCGATAGCGAGTGCAATTTACAAGATAAATTTCACTGAAAGTGAAATTATATGACTGCGTCGAGCGAAAGAAAGCGCGACTTCGACCACTATTTTACATATGCAGCGCTCGTATACTATCTATACGCGAATGCAATGTGTGTTCACGTACATTAATGCAAGAAAAATGATCGAAACGCGAAGACATTAGCTTTACTAAAATGTCAAGGCTAATTTTACGCGTAACCTGTTATTACGCGCGCATCTTCCTTGCATTTCATCTTGAGAGAGAAATGATAAGAAGATACGCAAGTATGCATGTACTTCTCGAAGCATTGGATAAGTCATAATCGATATGTATCGGTACATTCGTTTATTATTGGTGCCCGAGAATAGGTCTCTATTCTGTAACGACCGATGTCCAATGGCATTGTCTCGGGAACGTCCCATATGCACGGGAACGTCTGCAGTTATGCGTCCCATAAAAGCATCAAAAGGGTCTGTAGGACCTCTATTGTATGTGGAGATCCGTATGAAATAGGGGACAGCTGGGTGTAGACCGTTATTTAAAGGTGCACGCTACCGAACACGCGTCTGTTCAAATTGGTTGGTGGAATTTAAATTTCCGATAAGAGATTCAGGAACTCTTTCATCATGTGTCATGTGCACAGATAACTGTAATTATAGAGATTGTAATCGATTTTTCACTTTAGCAGAGAATGAATTTTGGAAACTTTTCTTTATATACAGATACAGTTTCATTTAATTTCCTAATTTCTTTTTAATGAAATTATAGAGTCCATAAAATATTACCTCAGATCAAGACTGATAGCATTGGAGTAATCAAACCAAGTGAATAGGAATATAATAGCCCATTGCATTCATAATAATCATATTTTATGATGTAAAGTTATTGAAAATTAAAATGCATTCTATCTATTAACTCTTTCAGTCCGTTCAATCTATAAAAAGAAATATTTCTTTTTCACGTAACAAATAAATTTATATGTAATATTTAGTGTACTTTCAATGTCCATTCCAATTTACTATAATTAAGTGTACACTCGTGTCGTATGTATAATAGACAAGTCACTGTTATGACATGTCACGGCTATGTGTCAATTTGTATCTTCTGCGAGCCTTAAAAGGAATTAAATTCAGAATCGGATCGGTTGTTTAGACACAAGATGCGCCATCTATTTATGAACATTATACCAGAAAGTTCTCTGTGTTTTCCACTAGAATTCCATAGCAATTTCTGTTCTTCGAGCAATCCAAACTCATTTTTCATTGGTTTGAAACAATTTCAGTCTTTAATATGAACCAATCAGAGAAACGTTAGAACAGAATATGGGAAGAAAATGCATCTTTGGCGTTTCAAGTGGAGGCGCCACCTACAGATCGACAATTTCTCATAATTGTGACTTTACAGTAGAGTTGGACAAACGTTATTCGATTATAAATTGTGTTCTACCGCTTTAACAGTAATTCACAATGGTAATTAATTAATCTTTATTTTGTATGTTTCTTATGTATGTGTGAAATAATATTATTACAATATCGCCAGAAATCGGAACAGTGATACGTTAATTTTTATTACCCGGTTTTGTAGAAGGATGTGACAAATGGCGCACATGTGTCAATAGATTTTTTTTATTATAAATTAAAAAAAAAAATTGTTTCTTACAAGTAGTATAATAGTTTATATGACAATTGTAACTTAAAAAACATTTCTTTCGTTTGATAAAATTTTGATTGATTTTTTATGTTACAATAAATTAATGAACATGCGAGAAGTTTAATGTAAAAATAAGTATAATAATTTACGTGACATGAATAAATTAAAATATATGGGAAGTTTTTGCTAAAATCGATAATGAAAGTAATTATAAAAATTTTAATGTTTTGCAGGTTTCTTTGAATCCTGTCAGGATCCTCAAGAATGAAGCAGAAGAAGAAAAGGCAGAAATTGCCAGACTAAGTTTGTTCGTAGGAGCAATAGCCATCGGTGATTTAGTGAAATCTACACTTGGACCTAAAGGTATGGACAAAGTATTAGTGGCTCATGGCCGATCTGCAGGACAAGTTCAAGTTACCAATGATGGAGCAACTATTCTTAAGAATGTTGGCGTGGATAATCCTGCTGCTAAAATCTTAGTGGACATGTCTCGTGTACAAGATGATGAAGTTGGCGATGGTACTACTTCTGTAACTGTGCTTGGTTGGTATAATTATTTTAATTTCTTTAATAATAATATATTAATATAAAAATCAAAATAAAACTTTTTATCATTTGAATTTAATTATTTTAGCTGCCGAATTATTAAGAGAAGCAGAAAAATTGATTGATCAAAAGATTCACCCACAAACCATAATTGCTGGCTGGAGGAATGCAACCAATGTAGCTAGAGAAGCTTTGAAAAATGCTGCAGCTGATAATTCTGCAGATCCTGAACGTTTCCGTGAAGATCTGTTAAATATTGCCCGTACAACTTTAAGTTCAAAAATTCTATCCCAACACAAGGAACACTTTAGCAAGCTTGCAGTAGATGCTGTATTACGTTTGAAAGGATCTGGAAATTTATCAGCCATTCAAGTAATTAAGAAACGTGGAGGAACTTTAGCTGATTCTTTTCTTGATGAGGGTTTTTTGCTAGACAAAAAACCTGGAGTGCATCAACCTCAAAGAGTGACTGATGCACGAATACTTATAGCAAACACTCCTATGGATACAGATAAAATTAAGGTAAGTTCATAAACACACTACATTGTGTATGTACTATGTTTCTGTTAAAAGAAATATATAAGCTTATTAGTTTTAATATTTAGTTCTAATTTACCAATAGTCATAGATACATTGGTTTACAGGTATTTGGCTCTAGAGTCAGAGTTGATTCAATGGCAAAAATTGCAGAACTAGAAACAGCAGAAAAGGAAAAAATGAAGGTAATTATATAAAATGATAATTAATAAGAAGAACTATATTTAATTATTTCTAATCATACGTACAATTTAGGATAAAGTTGAGAAGATCATAAAACATGGCTGCAACGTTTTTATTAATAGACAGTTAATTTATAATTACCCAGAACAATTATTTGCGGATGCTAATATTATGGCTATAGAGCATGCTGACTTTGATGGTATTGAACGACTTGCTCTTGTCACTGGTGGAGAAATTGTTAGTACCTTTGATCATCCTGATATGGTAAAACTTGGTAAATGTGACCTCATTGAACAGGTATGTCTGAATTTGATTCAAATTATAATTAATAAATTACTGTTTTTAAGGAATCATTAATTTTTCTAGATAATGATAGGTGAAGATACTCTATTACGATTCTCTGGAGTTCCTTTAGGAGAAGCTTGTACAGTAATTATTAGAGGCGCTACTCAGCAAATTCTCGATGAAGCTGAAAGATCTTTGCACGATGCGCTTTGCGTATTGTCAGCTACTGTGCGAGAATCGAGAATTGTTTATGGTGGAGGATGTAGTGAAATGATAATGGCTTGTGCCGTAATGAAAGCAGCCGCTTCTACGCCTGGAAAAGAAGCAGTTGCAATGGAATCTTTCGCTCGAGCATTACAACAATTACCCACTGTTATTGCCGATAATGCTGGTTATGATTCAGCTCAACTAATTAGCGAGTTAAGAGCTGCGCATAATTCTGGTACAAATACTATGGGTCTCGGTATATATTTTCTTTATAAATTTTACAGCTATTACTATTAAAAATAACATCAATAATCAATTTTTCTTTCGTCTTTCATTAACAGATATGGAGCAAGGAAAAGTAGGTTGTATGAAACGATTAGGAATAACCGAATCGTGGGCTGTGAAGAGACAAGTTTTAGTTAGCGCAGCAGAAGCAGCTGAAATGATTTTACGTGTGGATGATATCTTGCGAGCTGCACCTAGAAAGCGCGTCAAAGATCGCGGCCGTTGTTAATTACGCGAATGCCCATTTACTGCATTATTCGCACTGCTTCTTTTATGCTATGAAATTATAATTAAATAATGAACAATTTAGTTTTATCTATTTTGTTAATAAACATTGATACTAACTGATATCAATATTAATCATTTCTTTAATGCTACATAGTATGTAATACTATTTCATATTATTAATTTCACATCACTATTCGAAAGAAAAGTATTGGAAGGATTTATAAAACAATCGAAATCATCATTTTGTAATCATTTTTTATAACAATACAATAGGTTTAACATTAATAAATGCTTCATACCTTCAATTTGTATTTTCTTTACTAAAGCTTTACACCAGCAACGTACTTTATACAAAATTTTAATAAAAAACAGAAATATCATTTATAATTAGTATGGAATTGCATAAAAAAATTAAAAATATTTTGTTAATGGTACAATTGTAACGAATGACTGTATAGTCGCATGTACATTGCACCAACATATAAATACAGATCCATACCAAAAATGAGATACATTTTTAAGAAAATTAAAACCATTGTCTTTTAGAATAAGGAAATACTAATAAACAAAAATCTACATTTAAATGCAACAAAAATAATTTGTTACTTTAATAAACAAATCGTAACATTGGATCATATGCGAGTTTATCTAGACTAGGATTACAAGCAAAATTAATCATTGGAGGTGGACCACACATAAGTACTATTGTGTCACATGATGGAGGAAACATATTTTCCTTTATCATATCAGAATTTATATATCCAGTGCTATATTCCCAATTTTCACGAGCGGTATCTAGTGTATACCAAAGTTTTAATTTGTTAGGATGATTTTTTGCAATTTCTTCTAATTCATCACGAAGTAATATATCTTTTTCTGTTTGATTGGCATAAAGTAGAGAAACTTGAGTTTGATCTGTGGAATCCTTTAATATAGCACGAATTAATTGCAACATTGGTGTAATTCCTGTTCCACCAGCTAACATTACAATCTGCAATGTAAAAAATACATTTGCTTAAATATTATAAATAGAAAATACGATTATATAAATTAAACATATATACCTTTTTAACATTATATTCTACAGGTGGACTTTTTCTTAAAATTTTTATACAGAACTTCCCACGGCCTTTATAAATAAGTCGACCAGAAGGTCCCCTGAAATCAACTGTATCTCCGATTTTCAAATTGTCTAAGTACTGAGACAATTTTCCTCCTTCCGGGAATTTTGGATGTACATTTTTAAAATAAACCTAAATATATAATTTGATTTATAATTTTCACATTGAATTGCATAACATATCATATTTTATTTTATTATTTACCTTAATAACAAGATCTACATAACCATGATCATCATCACTTGATACAGGAGTATAAGAACGTATAACAACTTGGTCTTCAATTTTCACTGTTAAATGTACATGCTGACCAATTGGTAATCCTAATACATGATCTGGAGTAGGCAATGCAAATCTGAATTTTCTTGTATCGTCATTTATTATGTCTTTTTTTATTAATGGTAAACTATATTTTTCAACTGGATCAACTAATAAAATCGGAGATTTCTTTTGTTTACTGCTCCAACTTTTGTAGAATTTCACAGCTAATCCTATTACAGTTATGGTTCCTACAGCAGCCAATATTGGTACAAACTAGAAAATAAGAAGAAAACATAAAAATTACAAGATTTGGAAACAAGATTTATAATTCCCACCTACTGATTTATACAAGAAATTAGTTAAACCATGCTGTACCAACTTAAAAGATAGTAACAACAAAATAAATAAGTTCAAAATGTGACTAATCCATTGAATGTCATCTTTATTTACATATAGAAGCACAAAATCATTAATATTTATGAGTTCCTACTACAACAATAGGTGGAAAGTTCAACTTCTGAACAATTAATTTACTGAATCAAATTACGCATCATTTCACAAATTTCTTTCAATCTCATTTACACAATTAAATCGATCCTTTTATTCACAGAAATTAGAAACTAATATCTAAAATAAAATAATAAACTAAATTTTGAAAAGGAGAAATTGATTTATCAAAGTTATTCATAAGAACAATGAAAACCAGTTACATGTCATGGCTTATTTCTTTGATATTTTTGATTAATATAAACAATATTCATTATATTTTCGGAACTTTAATTTTTTTTTTATTTAAGTTACTTACCAATGATCGTAAATTTGACATCGTAAATTAAATTACACGTGGTTAGAAGTTCAGCGAAAGAGCGTAGAGAATAAGACTAAGGTCCTGACCATAGGAAGAGGGGATTAATAAAAAAGAATTCGCAAATACTAACGGTTGGAGATTACTTGTATTAGAAAAAAATACAGAGAATGTCTGATTTGTCACCAATCACCGGTTTCTGAAGTTTTTATGCGCACACTTCGAGAAATTGCCGGCTTCTACATGAGGTCAGATATAGGGCGCTACCCTTTAAAATAGATATTATGTATTTTCCTTGATCTAAGAACAGTTCTACCATTCTAACGTATTTATAGATACATGTGTATGTTGTTACAAGAGATATTATGTACAAACGTGACATTTATATGACACAATAAATGTGGCTTTATATGATATATCAAACGAAAAATGTTCCTAATTCTTATAAAGTATGACATAACCTGAAGATTCCATATACCGTTTATATATTATTGCATTAGATAAATAGCAGCATTTTGATTAAATGAATATTATGGAGCATGAATTATATCAAATATAATTCAATTATAAATATTTTTGTACATTTTTAATTTTTAAGTTGTATAACCTTAACGTACACATATATGTACGTTACGAATAGTTTAATAAAAATATATTCATTTATGTATAGCCGTGCCTATAAGATTCATTTGAAAAAATTAATTTATAGATTTACACAAATTTAAATTTATTAATACTCCCATTCTATTCCTTATACAAAACGAATACAGTGAATATAAAGGAAATTTGTAAATTCAATTAGACAATAAAAAATTTTACATAAAAGATTCGTTAAAACAATTACATTAATGAGAGTTACATGTACATACTTCTTCATGTTACTTATCTAAATATAATCATTTAGTTACGTAATTTGATACAACGATTTAGTCCTTTATTCAAATCGAAACTAAAATATTATATGTAATTATATATAAATGAATATTTTAAGTTATTAAATATAATATACGCACATTAGGTCCAATTGATGTAAGGTTCTCTTTATCCGACATAATAACGATAATATTTACACTATTATATTCACAATTACGTTTATATCTTTCAATTTGATTTATTTCTGATTATGAGAATCGTTTAGGAAAATATTTCAATTACAAATCAATCTTTACTCTAAACTACATCAATATTTATTCTATGAATTCATTGAATAATGCGTTAAACTATCTATTGCTTAACTGAATGATCGTACAATTTTTAAGACTGAAATTTACTATCGAATGATAAAGCAGTCCTGATAAAAATTTATTCATAGCATGTTTTTACTCCTCACCATTTTAAGTTGCTTAGGCAATTTTATATTACTCTTCAACAACTATATTACTCTTAACAATAGATAAATTGCTCATTTTTTTAAATGTACTAATATTCAATTTATAATATTATATTTCCTTTAATAATTATTTTAAAACATTAATGTTATATAATAAGACAATTATAATCTTGTTTTGTGTGTTCATGAATATAGTAATCTATATTATATACGTATATATATATCCGTGATAAGAGTAGAAAACATGATGATTTTTAAGATTATTGCAACAGTAACTCTGTTATATAAATATATGAATAAATGTATTTTTATATAATTATATATCTTTATATATTAATAATTTACAGTATGGAAAGAAATTAAAAGAAAAAAAATATATATATATATAATACAAAATAAACAAAATTTATTATATATTATTATTATTACATATTATTTATATTTATTAAATTTAAAAAAAAATTTATTCTGTGATAATAAATTTTTTATGTTGTTCAATAATATAATATATTTATATTAGTTTATGTTGTGTTGATATATTTATTGTTAGTAAGTAGCGACATCTTCGAAATTGTTTGAATTTATAGGTTAGTTAAGTACTTATATGGCATATCAAATATTGATGTAAACATCGAATGACTATGGTTTCAAAATCATGTTTGTCTCGTGATTTTTAACGTGTTTAATTTTATGTGCCAATGGCAGTATTGCATCGTGCTCTATTCACGTGGTTTAATCTTTTAATTTTTCTGATTCTACTTGTCTTGAGGCTCGATCAGAGAATACAATGGAATTGGTTCATTGTTTTTATTCCAATGTGGTTGTATGATCACATACTTTTGGTTTATATTGTTTTTAATATGATATCTCATTGTAAAAATGGACGTGTCATTAATTTACGCTGGGAAGTAAGTTGAATGACAAAATCTAGTTAAATTAAGTTAAGAGAAATATAATAGACTCTCTTTTCATACATCCAGTTTCATCAAAAACTATTACTTGCATGTAAATTGTTATGAAATAATTTATTAATAAAAGGATTATGAAGCTTTGTATTTCAATTCATATATGTTATTCCCCTAATTACATAAATAAATAAAAGATACAGTATCCATTTTACTGCATTAATAAAAATTTCATTTAAAAAAAGTTTAATTTATTATGTATATGTTATAAGTGAAATTATATGTAACATTTGTTAAATGAGACAAATTGTCTGTGAGTACTTCTTAGTTTCTTCTAGGTAGATAAATCATGATATTAAAGTTTATAAGTATAAATTTCTAAATGTGTTGCATATATAATGTGAAGTCTATGAATTTGATGTAACTATTTATGTTGATGAAACTGGTTACTTTGTTGCATTTTATGAAAACTGAAAACAGTTTTTTTTCAGATATGGTATATGACAGCTGTGTTCATGAAACTAAGTGCCCAAATTTTAATATGTTTGAAATTAGAAGCACCACATTGGTTTTTACCAGCAAAAGTTGTTTTGGCACCATTTTGGATTCTTCTTCCAGCATTGGCAGTTGACGTTTTTGTACATTTAATATATCATTATCGATATTAACAATGGCTAAGTCACAATTGATTCGGAAGTATTACAATAAGTGTATGCAATATTTATCATATTTTATATAAGTTAAATTATGAATAATTATTTTTAATGTAACTGTTAGCTAATTTTATTTGTAAACGACAGTTTATATTTTTCATGTCCAAGAATTCTATAAATTATTGAATCTATTAATTGATAATTCAAGAATGCATTTTAAGTAACTTTGAATCCTATTTTATATGTATGTATCAATGTACAAAAACTTCCTTGACATTAGGTTTTACCTTACATATCAGTTTTTTCTCAATAGTTAAAATGTAAGTGTACTTTCAGATATGTTAGTCACAAGATGCCAGTCTAGCATACTATAAATACTCTATTGCACAAGGATGAATAGGACAAAGATATAAATAAGTAACTCTATACCAGCTTCATTATTGAAGCTTTCCTCATTAGTTCATAAGACTGTCATCATTTGCAAACAGTAAAGTGATTATATTTCTTAATATATTTATTAAAATAGGAAACAAATAAATAAATAACAGTGAAACACGAAAAAGTTGATGTAGTTGCCTTCACTGTTACGCAATATGGTTCATTGACAAGTGTCTTTGCTTGTATTCTGCATGTAATTATTCCAACGACCATCTGTCACATTTCAAGTTGCATTGAAATTTTTTCATTGGAAATGATCAGTGGAATTGGAATGTAATTGTTGTTTAGTGGAATACAGTACTTACAAGACAAAAGGTTTTCTTAGCTTAGTTGATAGTAAGACACGTTCTATAACAGTTACATAGTATTTTTATATTTTGACTGTTTTCAACTTAATATTTTTGTGTGAGTGAAAGTTATGATCATATAAAGTGGACAACAAAAATTGTATAGTGATTCATTATATATTTGAATTTTTGAATTTGCAAAGATGGATAGTAACATACAACAGGTAGAATGATTAGATATGTTTTTTATAATTATTAATAAATAACAAAACTAACAATAAATTTTACAAAAATTTTAATGCTAAAATTAGATTCAGAGATAAAAATTTATAATTTAAACTTACTATTAATATTTAAATAAATAGATACGTACTCTGTCCAGCTTTATTCAATTAATAATTTCTGACTTATTGCAATTCTCTTTTACAGATGAATGTGATTTATTTTATATTTCTATGTTTATTATTATCATTATTGAAAAATGGAGCTGATGGAGGCTCAGTTACAGTAACAGAAGTTCCAGCTGGTCATTTAGCTGAACTTCCATGTTTGAGCAGTGATGATCATCATCGTTTTATGTTTTGGCAACTTACTGATGATAATCGCATTATTGGACCTGGAAATCCAATGGATGAAAACAAATACAATTATGAAGTGCTAACAGGAAAACTTTTCATAAGGGTAAATAATTGTGAACATTTTTTTTTATCATTCTTACGTTAGGAAAAAATTGTTTCCAGGGTGTATCAACAGCTGAATCTGGTTTCTATAAGTGTGTTTCCAAAGGTATATCAGATCATTCTGCTATTAATATTCACGTTGTTGAATTAATAGTTAAGAAAGATTGGGAAGATGTTTGGGAAAATGATTTTGAGGTATATTAGAATACTTTAACATAATAAATATATTTTTGTTATGTTTTTTTAAATATTTTTTGTTATACACTATTTTTTTAAATAGACGAATTTATTACGGGGTATGGCTGCTGTTATGGTAATAGTTGTTGCTATAGCTATTGTTCTTTTCATTATCACAACAAAAAGAAGACGCAATCGCAGATTTTTTGGTAATTATAAATATTTAAGTCCAATTATTATGTAAAACAAAAGGTCATATTTCATTTTTCATTAAATGAATTATTTTAGATTTGGAAGAATCAAGAGAAAATTCCCCTGCAAAGTATACACCAAATGTCCATACTGGCCCTGCACCAACTATACCAACAATTGATGAAGGGGGTATTGATAATGAAGCTCTTGATATTGATTTTCCAAGGGTATTCAAACAAATGCAAAAATAATAAATAATTTTGTAGTATATTCAATGAAAATTTTTTTATAGTAGATGCAATAAAAGTGCAGTATAAATAATACATCGAAAGACATACACACATATATACAGTCGTATTCGTTTATGTACATATACATTGGTTTAGGAATTATGCTATGAAGATATAAAATGCATGATCATTTCATAAGTAAAAGAATCATTTCTAATTGCAGATGAAAAGTAACATGTTGTATATATATTTGTATATATATATATATAAATAATGATTAAATTTAATCATACATTTATTGAGAACTTGCAGTTATTCCATGAGTAGTATCTAACATACTATCGTTAGTTCCATCATCTTCGTCTTCTTCATCATCCTCTTCTTCAGGTTCCACCTCCGTTTCTAATAATCTTATTTTTCTATTATTTTCATTTAAAACAGCGGCTACTTTTCGTGCACCGCTAACTGCTATTTTTTTAGCAGATATACCTTGAAAAGGCCGTGGCCAACTGTTACCTAAAAGATCTACTAAACTAAGTACATTTTGATCTTGATTTCCAAAAATTCGAGCATTATTCAATGGTAACTGTACAAGGTATGATGCGTGTGTATGTTTATTAAGTAACAATAAACTGAGGTATTCACTAGAGTAAAATTGTAAATCAACTACAGTACAATCTAAGTACGTTTTAGAATAAGATTCTGTAAAAGACACAAGTTATATTAGTTCTAAAAATTAAATTATTACGTATTCATATTAAAACAACAAACCTGTTTTATGATCTGTATCTATTGTAGCCAATTTAAAACTGAGAGAAATAGGTTCCGTGGATGAACACTCACATTTAAACAATCGTAATATTTTATGATCTACATCACATGTAGCTACTAACAAACCATCATTGTTTGTTGTAATTTGTGACGATGTAAATCCTATAGATGGTGATAAAGCAATATTTGATATGGTGAAATGTTCAACTAAGCCTTGATAAGACTCACGAAATACATTATGTACAGCAGTAATCAATTTTGCATGAGACTGCAATAAAGAATAATTAAGATCCTGTTTCACAATAAGCGGATGATCGCGAAGGCAATGGTTTTCATCGAGCATGGTAGCCCATTCGCTTCCTTCGGGAGTTAAACAAATTTGTAAATTTTCCCGTCGTAAGTATTGCCCTAACTTTTCTAAATTTACTCCTTTCCTTCCTCCAACACCGGGTTCAGTTTTATCGAAACCGCGTAAAAATTCTGCGATAAACGTTAACTCTTGTTGGCTGACACGACTTACTTCAGATGGTATTCTTTCATCTGACAATCTTAAAATTGCGACGTACAGCCATCTTAAAATAAAGATATAAAAAAATTGAAATAGGGAAAATATTAGACAAGAATTATAATTTTTAAACATACCGGAAGAAAGCTTTATAGTCACGCATACTGTGATCTATCACTTGTTGAATTTCAGAAGATTTTGCTAGAAAAGCTTCTGATGCATGGAGAGCATTAGTTATAATACTTTCATCAGTGAGTCCCAATAATTCATACGGACCACCTAATCTGACCATTCCTCTCATTTCAGCTAATTGATATACTAGGGCCATTCCAACACTAGTTAAATTTTTTAAGACTAGTTTCTACAAAACAGTAATGTATTGTTACGATATAGACAAATTTTAAAAATTGTTGCTATCGTACCTGTATATTGCTATAACACATTTCGATACTATGTCCCAACTTTTTTAAACCCTTTTCAGTTAAATCACGCAGTAAAAAATTCTCCAAGTTTTGCGTAGGTATACCAATCATTAATAATTCTAAAAAATCTGCAGCAACTCCACCGGGTGGATTTGTTTCCGCGTATCGGGCAAGTTTCTCGTCCATTTCCAAAAGAATTGTTTCCCACGCCTCAGATATTGCCATTAATGTACGTGAAAGATAATCCATCAAGTACTCAATATTAGCTTGAGCCTGTGCTACCTCAAATTTAGATAAAAAATTTATAGAAATTTAGTTATTATAACAAAATTTGAAAATATATCAAGCAAAAAACCTTTAAAAATGCTGTGCTTTGTTCTAACAGTGGACAACATAATCTACTTGCTTTAATGCCATTGTTATCTTTCCATGTGATCCACATTAATTTATCAATTCCTCCACTAATTTCTAATATTTGGCCATGACCAATAAAAATTGTACCACAATAGAACATTCCAAATACATACATTGCAACATTTCCATCATCTAAGCCAAGCTACAAAAAAGTACAATTATTTATAAATGATTAAAATATCCTAAAAGCATATACTTACAAAAAGTATGTCCAAAGTCTGAGATAAAAATTCTTTACGTTCTGGTTCTTGACCAAAACTTCTGTTTAAGCTAGGTAAAGGTGGAAGATATTCTCCAGTTGGTAGCATATTTGCTTTGTTACCATTTAATGAAGTATCACTTTCCAAATTTGCTAATGGTAGCCATGTCATGCATGTAATTGCATTGTGCAGCATCAATTTTATTCTATGTATAATATTTTTATTTTCAATATCTACAAGACACACTAATTTAGAACTTTCATAACAAATTGCTAGAAGTTTTCCATCTGGTCTCCATGCTAGATTCACGATAGTATCAGATTCTTCTTGAGGACTTAACAACCACACTCTTTGCCATGTTAATCTGTGCAATGTAACTTCTCCTACAACAATCATTTTAACAAATATTATTTATTACATTTGTAATCATTAAGAAATAATGTTACATTTTTATTATCTTATTTAAAATATAAATAATTAATATTGGCTATGAAATATTTGTAGCAATTTAAATAACTAAAAGATTTAGTTTACTAAATCCTATTACTTAAGAAATCTAACCTTTTACATTTGCAATTGCTAAAAGATCCATTTTCGGAGACCATTGCATCCGTGTTACTTCAGCTAGAAGTTGTCTTTCTTCTAATTGCCTCATACTACCTGCCATTTTTGTAATATTCATCACAATTTAATTCGTAACATAATTCTATCGAACTATTGAAAACCGCAACTTTGAGGTTATGTTTACCACCAGTATAGTTTGTTTATAAATACAAAATTACATATGCATACATAATATGCACTGTAGAAAGTCTTTCCTCATTTGTATTCCATTAAACACATACATAAATAAGTATATGCATGTTCATTGATAATTAACATTTTTTGGAAGATATGTTCTTTACATGTTTTATTTACAGTTTCAAAATATATTTTATATTCATCATATCTCTGAAAAATGTAATTATGAATGAAATTTAAGTAAATAAAATAATAAAAATTTTACGTATGTAGCGTTTAATATATAATTTTTGAAATACAACCAAAGATAACATATTCAACGGTATTATATAGTTTTAAGATAACATACATAACAGTGTTATATAGTTTCTTAATTTACTTGAAGATCGGAGTATATTAATGTTTCATAATTGAAAAATTCACGAATGAGCGTAGCAGGAATGCGACAGTCAAACAAATTGTCTAAACGTTGCCAAAAGCAATTTAGCGAATGTTGAAGGTGCAGACTTAAAAATTAAAAATAAACGTCGCTACTGGCGTTGCAGCATGCGTGTAAGCAATCGGGCATTACAGACAAAGATTTCGCGCCTAAACAAATTTTTCAGTAGAAATATCATTTCGAGTTTCACGAGCTAAATGTAATAAATTGTTATAATACGTACGAACGAACTAAATCTAACCGAGATGAGATGCGTCTTCTCTTTAGAAAATGAGGCCACTGAAGTTCAACTCACAATTGGACCAAATCAGATTTTCATGCCATCGCGTTTTCAGACAACTTTGAATTCTAAAATCCAAATGACAATTGATATTACAAAGATAAGTTTTTGCATTAGAAATTACATTTATATTTGTATTTATTTATTTATTTTTTTTCTTTAAATACTGAGTCTTACAATGCCATTTGTTTTATGTTAAAAATTTTGAAATAAATTTGTAAAAATCAGGGACCATGGGATCTTGTGCACAAAGGAAACAAGATCTTTCGGTTTTCAATATTTCAGAAATACTTTTCTGAATAAAGTAAAATTAAGAATTGGAAAAAAATTAATATGTTTCGTAACAATTATAGACCGCACAATATCATTGCCGAAAATATGAAAATTTATTAAAAGTTTCAGGTTCCTGGCAAAAAGTGTCGTACTAAAGTCAAGAATTTTATTTCTTATAATTGCAAGGCAGAAGAGTGTGATACACAAACAAAGTAGAAACAGATGTAGCTTAACATTCTGTTTATTCAACAACCCATTTACGTTTGCAACATGTGTTTACTCGAGTCCACCATATTTGCAATACTCAACAAAACTTAATGTTTAATAAACGTTCAACGTCAAGACAGAATAAAAAAAAAAAACAAAATACGAATGAATAAAAAGCTCATTCAGTAAACACTCATATCTCATTCAGAAGTGTCTGCTAAAACTCTTTGAAAGAAATTCATATTTGAAAATATAATTTCCATTACCTCTATATTCGTCTAGTTAATTAAAATTGGTTCACCCTAAAACCTCAATACCCGCGACGCTTGCGTTCACGTGGTTCTCAACTGGCGCGCCATGGATCCATCTCTTTGATCAATTCCGTAAATCCACTCACAATACTTATTCATCAAGCAATTCTTTTATTTCCAAATTATTTGTTCTTCAATTTCAAGATTCACTGACCTGTTCGCAACATTGAAAAATAGACAGAAAGTGGCGAATTAAAATTTGGAAGGATTCATCAAATCAAAGTCTACTCATCGGAATGACGAAGAGAATAAAGAGAGGAACTACTTTCAGCATGCTAGAACTTGGAACTCATCGGAATTCGTCAAATAAAATTTATTCATCGATATCGAAATTCATTCGCATGGTATATCCAGAACGAAGCGGTAACTTTACTTGTAGAACCTGTACAGATAGTTCATCGTTGATTCATTCCGAAATTTATTCATCAATATCTACTGATTGATACAGCGTAACAGTGACAAAGTTAGTCGAAGGGAAAAGTTAGTCGTTCGATGTCGGAACAAAGTGGATCGAAGGTGGTGGTCGGCTGGCGAAGAACGCGTGCGGAGCAGGAGGGCGTCGAGGAACGCCACTGGCCACGTGACCCGCCAGCAGAATCCGCGGCGTCCGCCGAAAATCTAAATCCGTCCGAGCCGAGAAGAAGAGGCACCAGGGACTCGCCGGCCTCCGGGGACTCGCCACCCGAGACACCACAAACGCGATAGTCAATAATTGCCTTTTGGGTGCACCGGATCGGCGAACGCCAGGAGACAGAGATCGAGAGCGCGATCATCGTCCGCGTGTGAAACACAGCGACTCGTCGCACCAGCCGAGCCTGTTTCCTCGGTGGCTCGAAGCAGTGGAGGAGGGTAGCCAACACGAGTTGACAGGATGATACGCGTCGACGAGACTGACCCGGTGGGCGGTAAGGGAGACCAAGCATTTCTCGATACACACCAAACGGCGTGCCAGGTTTATGGAATGCATTCACGATTGCATCGAACACCGTCGTGGCTTGTTTGTGAAATGTTTGATGGCAACGATTGGAATCTAGATGTATAAAGTTCGAGTAGCATGATGTATTATGCATACGGTGGACACATGTCGAGGGTTTTCGAGTGTAGAGTATATAATTGTCGAACGATCGTGGATAGATGTCGAGGATTTCAAGTATAGAATTGTCGTAAGATCGCGGTCTGTTTGTGAAACATTGAATAGAAACGATTGTTGGAATACGGACACAAAGATCTATGGCTTTCAAATTACATATTATCTGTATAGTGGATAGGATTTAGTGTCAAGTGTTAAAATTAAATTGTCGAATGTCGAGAACGACCGCGGTTTGTTTGTGAAACGATGAAAATGATTGTTGGAACAGAGTAATAAATAAAATTTTTAAAGGCAAAATATATTATAGATTGGCGTCGAGGGTTTTAAGTATGAAGTTGCTTCCTTTTAGAAGAAATATTTTAATACATATTTCATTCCATGTCGAGGCTAACTGTGAATGTTTGATGTGTTAAGTATATTTGTATGTGAAGACGACAGTGATATGAAAGACGCTCGTTTCTATAATATAGGAAGAAAGTGTTAAAACTTTTTACGAAAAATCACGAAGGGTAGGTTCACTCGTGGTGATTTCACTTTTATCCAAGTGAAGCGTGGCAGAGCGTGTTTCGAGCGTGGTTTTTCTTTAAATAAATGCAGTGATTCATTGGAATTTGGGACGGCGATAGAGCGTCGCTGGTTGTTTTCCGAACTCTTTGAACGATCGGTCTCGATGAACCCCGAAATCGTTCGAGGCCACGATGGTTAGGATGTTCCTAACCAGCTGTCTCGTACAAAAGGACGAAATGAGGTCGCGACCGATACGAAACTATGCGAGGAGACGTTTGTTCAAAGTGGAAAAGGAATTTCGTATCGAAACAAAAAGGAAACTCTCAGTACTTGCATATCTCAGTCATTCAGAAGCCACACACCATCAACTCTGTAAATTGGAAAATAGAAAGCAAAGAAAAAAAAAAAAAAAATGATATAAATATCATTTTAATGTTACATTTTGCACCTACCATTTCCTTGTGGTAATTAAATTCGTGAAATTGAACTGTCTGTTTCTTGAGCAATTTAGAAAAAATAAAGCGAATCAACCTGGCTTTTGGGAGACTTGGTTTATCACAATTGATCATAGTCGTAAGTTAATATAAAAAGTTGACTTCCAATTCAATTTTGTACTTTAATTCAATTGGCTTTTAATTCATCATTTTGTACGAATTCGAATTTAAAAATTTTTTATTGGTACGCGAAAGTACTCGTGGCCATTTCTATTAAAACTTCTTATTTCAATTTCGAATTCCTTTTGCGTAGTAAAGTCGTAAACATCGTACATAACAGCTCAGATATTACGCATGATCCACGGTTAAGATATAAAAATCGCTAAATTTATACGCGAGACAATTCGATATATGCGCACCGTTTCCTGTGTGTCAGAGTTGATGAGTTGGCCAGGTTCCCCTGTAGGATCATTGGAAAACAGATAATTAGGGTGGCATTTGATTTTCATTTTGAATATCGTCGTGTTAAATCGTCCTCGGCGAATCTTTGTGGCAAAAGAACGCGCCAGTCACCGGAACTGTTGCTGTCGGTAACGGAACTCGAGTCAAGTTTCAGCACGATCAGCTTTCGATTCGAGCAACAAACCTTTTATATACGAAATTCACGTGTCGACGATTCGACTCTCTTCATAAAGTTTTATTTTCGAATCGGTTGTTTTTTTCGACTCAAAAGTTCATTTTTAATTGAACGCTGGGAGGAAGTAATTTTCTATACGTTAATTGGATCGATTCCCACGCGCTTCGTTTAAAATGCAGCTAAATGCTCGAACATTTCTATTTATGACGTCTCTTTTCAATAAATTGAATAAATTTAAATTGAATAAATTAATTAAATTTATGTGTGTGCTGCGTATTTCTATTGCTTCAATCTTTTTAGATAGGTGGGCTGTCAAGTGCGGCCGATGTTAACAGAGATCATGAAATGAAATTACCTTTCATAATATTAGAGTATATACTTTTTGTCTTTATAAAAGTTGATGTAAAGTAAATTAATATACAAAGACACGACGAAACATAGATGAATTTTAATTTATTTTAACTGTATCACTAGTACTTCTGTTATAATTACATAGCAACCCGATTATTGTTACAGATGGAATTTTATAATTTTTTTGGGAAAGATTAATTTTCTTAAAGAAATTTAATATGTTAATATTCGATTGAAACCTTCTTAAGTTATCTTCCACGAGTGTAATAATAGTGGATCGAAAATTTACTATCTATCAGAATTCTCAGATTTCTTTTACTTAATTTCAACTTCAATGTTTATTATTGCTAAAAATGGAAAAAATGGCGTTTTACAGAGATCGAGCCGAGTTTCCCCTACCGAAATGTGACGGTGCGCCGTGGCGTGGAATTCAACGATCATTACGACATCCAATCGGAGATCGGACGGTAAGTGAACGTACGTCGATATTCATCGATCACGTACACTGGTGTATTTTTATTTATTGTTGACAAACGAACAAACGTATGGCGCCAAGAACGTACGTACGTAGATCGAATCGTCGCGATCGATTCGCAACAATGGCGATCCGTTGTTCAATTGGCAATGATTTTTCTCTACGTGCTCGCGATCGGGAAATGGACAGGGGCAAAATTATTCGCCACGCAGCTTTCCAGCGATCGAATTTATGTACGTAGAGGCACGATCGTTGCAAATATCGCGGCGAGCCGCAGGGTCGGGGCGAGCATGCTGTTTCTGAATTTGACACAATATGCGTGCTAGCATTGCGCAATCATTATACATGCTGCCCCGAGACTCTAATGCATGCCTCAGGCGTGGAGGAACGCTTCAAGGAACACGGAATTTCAGTTTTGAAGGGCAGACCGTTCCGTTCTTGAAGACCAGCTCGTTCGACAAAGATCAGTGAAGTCGAAACTTCACACTTTGCTTTCACGGTATTGGATTCTGCTGTAAATTTTTTGTCCGATTGTTTCTGCTTGAATGAAAAGGAACTCTCAATGTTTCGAAAATAATTTTTAATATAAAATTGAAATAAGACATCGCGCGTGTAATTGTTTTCTTTTTTTTTTTTTTTTTTATTTTCTTCGTAGATAGGGAAACACGATTGTGTAGAAAATGACGAGGAAAAGAAATGCGGTTAACGTTAATAATATTAACGTTAATTTTAATAAATAACGTTAATATTATTAAAATAGGGTTTACGTTATTTTTAACACGTTGTAATGATTTTGTAAAATCTCTTGTATTAACTAAATTATTATAAACTATTAACTAAATTATATTTCTCTTAAAAAGATTCTTCCATTTGTTGAGTCAAAAATTAGTAAACTGGAATATTAATCAGAATAACCACTTAATATTTCTCGTAATCTTACCAAGGTAAACCGAATAATCACTTAATATTTCTCGTGATCTTACCAAGGTAAATTTTAGATGTGCCTATCTCCTTGTTATTTTTCATTAGTCAAGAATTGATTAACTAGATGCTAGAACCTTAAAATTAAATCAATGTGAACTTTCAACGAATTTTCAATTTTCTTTTTAATTTCACATCGTGCAAATGATGTATTTAGATACCTGAACTAGACCGAAGAAGGTTCGAAGAGATAACAAAGAAAAAAAAAAAAAAATTAAAACAATATGAAAGCAATTTGAAAAGTGAAGAGAATCGGGGAGAAATATTCAAAAAGCTAGAATATATCGAGAATATAGGTGATAAATTTTCCGTCGACGGCGAAGACGTAAAAAGAGATCGAGGAAGAGGAAGGGAAAAATTCGAAACCTTGACGTGTTTATTCCTTCCGGCGAGCGTAGTATTCCTGTCTTGTGTACATCGTAATCTTTCAGTTACTATGCGTGCCTGCCATTATGAATGAGACTCGAACCTGAATGGTCTTCACATGCAAGGCTGCCGCTTTCACGAGCCAGTAAAATCTATTGAAATAAATCGTTGGAATGTTTGTTCTTTCCAGTTGCGCTCTGCATTGCGATCGCACACGCGATGACTATCGACTATAACTCCTCGAATCAATATGTATCGTGTGAGAATTATTGGCAATCGTTCGTGACTTACGAAGAGATTGTTAAAATTTCGAAACGTCACCCGCGACTCGATGTGGAGTGAGTGTTTATTTTTAATCAGGATCAATACGGAGGTTGATTTTTATTTTTAATTGGGAGGCGTACAATGGTGATTGTGTGTATTGGCAGCCAGGCGCGAAGTATTGACAAATGGACCGGTGCCAAAGGTAAGATCTGAATGTCAATGACGAACTATTAGTGAACCGTCAATTTTGAGCGACCGCGTTTGATTCGGACAACACCGAAAATTCTTCGCGGATGACTTAATGTTTTGCCATTGTTTGGAGAAGCTAAATCATGGTGCTTTGAATTTCATTCGCGGAAGGAAATTCCATTGTATTTGCACTGTGATCTACAATAGGCGTCGATACTTTTGATTTGGGATTAAATAATAGTTGGCAAGATGTATTGGAATGCTCGTGACACGAAGTAAATAAACAACGCAATAAATAAACAATTATTACACGTTGTGAGAAAATAATTGTATTCTCTCTGTAGGAAACCTAGACGTTGATGTCGTTTCAAGTAATCGAGGAGTTTTTATATAATTCCTTATCGATCCTTTAAATGTTAGCAATGTCGTTCAATATTAATTGTCATGATCAAATTGGGGAATTAAATTAAATTCTATTAAAGAAATTCACTGTTACACAGTTTTACGTAATAAACGACGCAAATGTGAAAATTTCAAATACAAATATATAAATGTATATAACACAGAGCATTACTGAAATGCTACACCTTGGTTCTCACTTCGATAATCAGAAACGGAAACTGTCCAAACCATTTATATCTCGAAATTCCAACGAAACGTGCACGACTTTGAGTCATTGGCCATTTTACAACGGAATTATTTCATTCATGACTCGATATTTCTGTCCCTCTGTCTTCCAAGAGAGCGTCCACGATCGCGAATCATCGAGCATGACTCTAATAACAAGTTGTACCGTAAATCATGTTTTCCAATTAACCGAAAGCGTTTTCATCGTTCCGTACGATCGTACGTCGAATTTGGCCGTTTTCCATCGAGAGCTAGCGATATGTACATAATGCGCGAATCATCGCAGTGAATCGTATCCACCGGAGAAAAATATCTTCTCGATGGTCGTTGAATCGAACCGCGAAGTGTGCTGTTCAGCTTGATAACGAAGGTATGCGAAGAGCCGACGTTGCATCAAGTTCCAAGTGTAATCAAGGTCCTTGCACGTCTATAAATAATGCGTTTTTCGTGGTGACTGACGTTGGTGCGCCGAGTCGCTGTTAGCATCCCGACGCTCTTACACCCTTGAGCCATGAATTCGATCGTGCATCGTCATTGCATCTTTTCTCGGTCTGCGAACAGCCGAGTCCACTCGCAATTACGGATTATCTCTCACGTTGAAATTTCGAAACTTTTACAATCTGTCGCGTACTTCTTAGTCGCTATTACATCTATTTTATTTGTTTATTAACAGTTAACGGGCATAGGTCTTACGATGGAAAAAGAAAGGAAGAAAAGTAACAGTTTAAGTATTTTAAGTCGCTGATATTTTCAAATTTTCAAATATTTTCCCATCCTAGAATATTTAGTGTAATTATTATATTTCGTTTACTGGTATATCATTAATATTTTTAGTTTATTTATATTTTTATGTATATTTTTACTTATATTTACTAATATTCTTACTTATATTTTATAACTTTATATTTACTAATATTTTTACGTATATTTTATAACTCTATATCTACTAATATTTTTACTTATATTTTGTAACTTATATTTACTAATATTTTTACTTATATTTTGTAACTTATATTTACTAATATTTTGTAACTTATATTTACTAGTATTTTTACTTATATTTACTAATATTTTTACTTGTATTTTATAACTTTATATTTACTAATATTTTTACTTATATTTTATAACTTATATTTACTAATATTTTTACTTATATTTTATAACTTATATTTACTAATATTTTTACTTATATTTTGTAACTTATATTTACTAATATTTTTACTTATATTTTGTAACTTATATTTACTAATATTTTTACTTATATTTTATAACTTTATATTTACTTAATATTTTTGCTTATGTTGTATAACTTATATTTACTAATATTTTTGCTTATGTTGTATAACTTATATTTACTAATATTTTTTTAGTTTACTTTATTTGTTTTGTCATTGTACAATTATTCTCCTTCTCTGCTCAAATATTCCGTCATCATCCGAGGATTGAAACGCAGTCTTGCCATAGCGTCACACCGGCGAATTTTCTGGCAAACGTTCCATTGTGATAATTTGCAATTTCGACCCCGTTGTGTGTCCATGGTATGCTCTACTAAACTAACTCGCTGAGTCACTAACGTGGCTTGGTTGCACCATCATATTTTATCACGCCTCTAAGCCATACCTTGATTCTATACTTCTCTCAATTTCTATTTCCATGCAACTTTTTCTGTTCACGAAGGAGATTATTTTCGATTATTCGGCCCGAGTCGAACCGAGATTCCTAGATACACATATTTCCAGATCTACGCACGAATAAATAGGAATAGGATAAATCATGTTTTCCTCTGTATATTTATAGCGAAATCACCTTGACGAGATACGAATAGTAAAATCTCCAAAGTTAAAAAGGATTTCAAGATATTCGGCGGTATTTTGATTCGACGTTGCTTGGCACAACAGCGCACGATAAATCTGCAGACCATGGCAGGTGCATAAACGAGATTTATTCTGATACACGGAATTGGACGAAATTGCACGCTTGTTTGAGAAAGTCTTGATCTTTCATGAACTTTACAAATCGACTGCATTTAAAATTCCGCAGCTTTTTCAGTTGGAACTGCGCGTAACTGATTCTCAGATAATAAGCGTTACGATTTTCCGAATTTCTTTTGCAATTTTTCTCTTCTTTTGTATCTGTCACTGCTTGAGGAAAAATTCGTGATTTTCTCGGATATCGATGACTATACATGTACAAAATATTAGACCAAAATTTCACTAAAGTTTGTACTAAAATTTTGGACAAAATTTATTTGACCTTCGTAAGATTCGTAACATATTGCTTTGATCTCGGATATTGATTGACTATATATGTACGAAATATTAGACCAAAATTTCACTAAAGTTTGTACTAAAATTTTGGACCTTCACAAGATTCGTAACATATTGCTTTGAACGGACGAATTTGTGCTCAGAAATAATGCCATGTTAATTTTTACGTGAATACTATTGCCTTAAAAGCATTTAAAAACTCGGCATATCATGCTAATTTTATGAAAACAAATTTCTCAACAATGTTTCATTGAAATAATTCGAAATGTTTGATTTCACTAAAGAAGGTAATTCAGATATCAAGTATTTTAATTGGTAGTGTAAATTGCAATAAAAAAGGGGAATTAGATATCTTGTTTATATAAGATGGAACGTGAGGAATTAACAAGGTCAAAGTTCACGAATGCGACTGCTGTTCTTGCTCTTGAGACGTTCAATGAAATATTAACAAGGTGTTTCTGTTCTGTTCTTTCGCGTGCTTAAGTATTCTTCAGTTGCTACGATTTATTACATTCATACATCTTGCTGCTGCAAGGCTACAAGGAAAGAAAATATTCTTTTCTCTTGCTCTATCTTCAGCGGGGAATATTTGTTTTATTCTAATGTTAAATTTTTCGTCTTATTCCGAAATTTTGTCATTAAATGAGATTCTGCTGAATCGTAAAACAATCGATAGAAACACAGGAATACACATTTTTCTTAACGAATGAAATGAGTTCTTGATTACAATCTAAATCAACAATAGCTGATGCGTTCTGTCTGTTGAACAATTTACATTAAACTGTGTGTTTATGCTTCGAGTAAAAGCGATTGTACACGTTCACATTGGGGTGAGATATTTTTTTTCGTCGAAAATAACGTTCGATTTCGCGCAGCATCAACCGTGAATTGTTATAATTCGCTAATGGTTGGAAAGAACAGATGTTGGGTCGAAATAGTTCAGCGGAAAGTTTATGGGAGTTGATGTCTCTTTTTTTTTTTTTAAATATACATCACTGTCGCTAAATCTAATCCAATAATTTCTATCTAAAATCTATCTAAAAACCATTAATGATGTGACGAAGTTTAAACAGTTTAAACGTTGAAAAATTAATTAGAAAGTTTGAAAATTATATCGAACTTTATAGAAAGATATTTGGTAAATTATGTTGGACACAAAAAATGCTCGAGTTGCTCGCACGAAACGTCGGTTAAATTCTAGGGCTGCAGACGCCAATTTTGAAAAAAAGTACAAAAATAAAGAGATCCGAAGCTTGTTGCTTCTGATACACAGTTCTGGCGTTAACAATGAAGACAACGGCACGATCGAAATCGTCTAGAATAGAAATCTCTTCGGGTCTTACGTACGTAGACTGCGCAAAACACGATCGTTCCTATTTGCAGAGGAAAATTTGGCACCGTTTATCGATGTAAGGAGAAAGTAAGCGACCTGATGCTGGCCGCGAAGGTGGTGAACACGATGAAAAAGGAGGACAGACGAGCGGTGGAGCGAGAGGTGGAGATCATGAGACGGCTACAGCATCCACGGCTTATTCAACTTTACGACGCCATCGACACCGGCAAACAGATACACGTGGTTTTGGAACTGTAAGATACTCTCGATACATTGCGATCATTTTCTATAAATTTCATTTCATTTCATCATTACGATTATTCCCGTGTATGTTCGAAGGATCGAAGGTGGCGAACTATTCGAGAGGGTGATAGACGACGATTTCGTGTTGACCGAGCGTAGTTGCGCCGTTTTCCTGCGACAGATCTGCGAGGGTGTAGAGTTCATTCACCGGCAGAACATCTTGCATCTCGATTTAAAGGTGAAATTACGTGTTAAAATGTCGCTTGCTCGTCGTTACATCGAATCGAATGGAATCGAATTGTCGTTATTTGGCAATTCATTCATAATTTATCGAAGCGTGGAGTTGCCGCGAGAAGTTTTTATTACACACGTAATGTGTATTTGTCTTTCTCACGATCGTCAACAATTTCACTATCCCGCGTTGTTATTATTGAACTATCTAATCTAACGAACGATGTATTCTCTATTTCTAGCCTGAGAACATATTATGTTTGACAAAGGAAGGTAACAGAATTAAAATCATAGACTTCGGCCTGGCGAGAGAGTACGATCCGAAGAAGAAGCTGCAAGTTCTATTTGGCACGCCGGAGTTCGTTGCGCCGGAAGTCGTTAATTTCGATCAGATTGGTTACGGCACCGACATGTGGAGTATAGGCGTTATCTGTTACGTATTGTAAGTAATCGCCCTTCAACTTCGATCCGTTTGCTTTATATAACTTTGTCATTACACTGTGTGGGAAAAAAACAGGCACCTAGATATTTGAGAAATTTTCAAGAAGTGAAACGCGACTGTGATTGTTGACTTTAGGAAAAATTTCGGAGAAAGAGACACTTATAAATTAATTTAAATTTTCCCTCTACCGAGCATATTCTTCCTCTTTTTTTTTTAAATTCAACATTGAATCTCATTTATTCCTTGTCTACTTTATACACAGCACTGCATACATCTTCGTAAACATTAGAAAAATTCCATCTTTATTTCGAGCCAACCTTCGGCGAGAAACGTGTAAAACGCGTTTTGCATTCCACAGTTCTATTTCCCAACAGTCCGGGGAACATAAACTTTAACATTTGCCGGCTCGGGCAACGTAAATTGTACCAGTGAAATTCGCCTGTTTCTCCCCACACGAAGAGAGATTAAAAATCTTTCTACTCTAATACATAAATTACAGGGAAACGTTAACAGGCCAGTTTATTTTTATTTCCAGGTTATCCGGTTTGTCGCCGTTCATGGGGGACACCGATCTCGAGACGATGGCGAACGTGACCATCGCCAAGTACGACTTCGATCATGACGCGTTCACCAACATATCGGAAGACGCGAAAGATTTTATTCGATGTCTGCTAGTCAAAGACAAAGAGTACGTATCGTTTGTTATTTTCGACGAGTATTACGTCGTGCAAACGTGACGCGTATTTTATGCTAAAATACCGGAGCCGCCGATCGATTGCGTTTCCCCGATCGACAAAAAATCAAACGCGACACGTTTGCAGAATTTATTAATGAACGTGACTGTCCAGATAACAAAACGCGCATATTGCTCGCCAACGAAATCAAACAGAGACGTCATTTTCTATCGTCTATCAGGATCAAGTAATTTTTTTTTTTGCGTTCTATATAGAAAGAAGAACGATAAGACTGCGCACTGTATCGAATATCGACGTTGTGCTGTCTTTAGCCATGAATTAATAAATTAAAAATAAAGCACAATCGAACAAATCGCGAATAAAATGTTCATAATAATTAGAATGATGGAAGAACATCAAAAATGAACTGTGTGGCAAGTTGAATCAATTATTAGAATTTCTAGTTAATCTCTAGAAAGTTTAGTCTCATTACATCTGAGACATTCCTCAAATTAGAAATTAACGATAAATTCGTGTAGAAAATTTATTGTAACAGCTTGTTTAATTCGAGACAATAAAATAACAGCTGTTAAGATCACGATATGTCAATCTATGTACATAAAGAACTATCTAACTAGATCGACGATATTAAACTTGTGACATTGAAATTGAATTCAAAGTGAAATATTGAAAGAAAGAGATGAAAAAAGTTTTCTGGTATGTATATTCAGTTATCTAGGCAGTCACGGCCATGGTTTTATCGTAACTCTTTCACAGTTACTCTTTCTCTCTCTCCCTTTGTGTCTGATTAATCCCGAGCATGTTTTTCTTCATTCTCGACGTGTTGCTTTTCACACCAAGTGAAAAACGAACATCCAAAAGAACCAACAAACCATCACAACATCCAAACGTCTTAATCAACCTAAAACCAACGATTCTATTTAGCTTCTATCTATCTTTCTTCAAATCAAACTCCCGACAAACAAAGTAAGCACCCGAGTTGCATTACAACGAATCAGAAAAAAAAAAAAAAAAAAAGGAAATCAAAATCTCAAATCAAAGTTTCTCTCAGCTTCCTTTCCAAAAGAAGAACCGAATTGCTCTCGCTGCGTTTCACGGACAGAACCCTGCTGCCTCTAAACAATATACCAGTACCGAAAGCGACCAAGGAAGCGGAAATGCATCGTACATGTAGCTTCTTGCTCCGCCAGTCTGGCCCTCGACCTCGAATTTCATTCAAGGGAAAACACACGTTTGTACAACGTCGCACGTGTCCCTCGCGCGTTTCCATCTCATCACCACTGTGTCAAACCATTCGCTCCCATCGCTGAGAAGTCTACGTAGAGTCGCGTGGTCTCAGCTCAGGCTCAAACATATGTGTGTGTGTGTGAGAAAGAGAGAGAAAGAGAGAGAAAGAGAGAGAGAGAGAGCAACAAAGAAAGAGAGAACAAAAAAAAAAAAAATGAAAGAAAGAAAGAATTACTGGCGAGATCATCTTCACGAAGAAGCTGTCGAATCTTTCAGCAAACGTATGTCGGCGGCGGAGTGCAGGGAGCATCGTTGGCTGGCCAAGAAGCCAGCGAGTCAGCAACAGCGGCAGGTGGAGGAAACGGCGATGCCACCGGCTCGAAGCGTGCAAATCCCTCGAGTGCGGACGAGCAACGTGGACGAGCTGGACGTGACCAAAGAGAATCTGAGACTGTTCGTGGAACGTTGGCGAGAGCATCCGGACAGTCCGTACCTGATAGATATTCCGCAGTGCTTGCTCGGCCAGCAGCTGAATTCAACGGGCGATCGCGAGGAGTTAGTGTCGTTGAGAGGTCAGAGCCCGTCGCCTTGCGCCAGTATCTGCAGCACGCTGTCGGAAACGACGGACAGCTCGCCCCGCGAGGGCCACGGCACGTTCCTCACGGTGCCTAGTTTCGGATACGGTCTCGAGAGGAGAGCCTCCGAGAGCGTCGCCACGCAGAAGCCGAGGAGCGACCCTGCCAGCCAGATTATCCTAGCCGAGGAGATAATCAAATTGTCGGAGCGTCTGAGATCCATAGCCATGGGAGCGTGCGAGACACCGAACGACGAGGAGACTACCAGCTCGGTGATCGGCGAACGGAATAGTAAAAGAAACGAGCCGAACGAGAAGGAGAAGGAGAAGAGAAACGAGGCTCGCGAGAAGAGGAACGGCTTGGTCGTTGAGAACAGCGAGTGCAACGAAATCACGGAGAAACTGTCGAGCATAGTGAGACACAGGAAGCTGAACGGAACCACGTTTCACAGTAGTCGTAGCTTCGACAAGTACGAGACGAACACTGGGAACGTGTTCGCTTCGTTGAGAAAGACAGGGAGGCAGAAGAGAGAGGAAGAGTCTTTCGAGTCGACCAGGTCGGAATCTCTTGAGAAGAAAGTGGAAGGCGCGACGTGTGATAAGACGATAGACGAGAGAATACCGAGGAAAGATGGCGAGATGGACCTTACGCCACCGTGGCGACGTCCACGCGTGAAACAGTTCGGCGAGACTAGCAGAGATGTTCCACGGATCTCTGGGCTTCGTAATTTGCACAAGAGCCTGAATCTGGACGAACCTGCTAATACCAAGGATCTGTTGCTTCATTTGCTTGGCGAATGGGAAGAGGTTGCCACGAGACCGTCGGGTGTTGGCCGCAAGTCTGTCAGCGTTGACTGGTGCGGAGAAGAGTCTGTCGCTAGAAAGACAATGAACTCATTGGCGGAGTATTTCCAATCGAAACAACAAAAGTCCACGGCTGCTAACGTTAGCTCGCCCATGTCGAGTTCGATACACCGTTGAAACGATTCGTCGGTAAAATCGAGGACTATACGTGTGTTGGATTTGTGCCTGTTGTTCCTTACAACGACGACAATCGTCGGGGATGATTCGTTATTGTGAGGTTCTCAGGGCAGTGCAAGATTATTTCTCGTTCAACGTTTGCGCACAGCGCTGAATGAAGCACTTCCGGCCTGAACGGAGCAAGACAAGTTTGTAGTGAGCGTGCAATTTTATTTGAATTCACTTGTGTCGAATTCAAGTAAATACGCGAGTTCCTGGTGAATTGCTCGCGTTGTCAAGTTTATTATATTCGACTGAAGGAAGAGAAACGATTGATTATTAAAATATTTCGACAATCGACACGTGTATCGATTCTTTGCTCTCCAGAAAACATTTCCTTTCACGACGATACTAATAAAACAAAAAAAAAAAAAAAAAAAATTGGAAAAAAAAAAAAAAAAAAAAATTGGCTAGCAGTAAAGTAAAAAAGAATGTACAATAACTTCCAGAGATGGAGGTTTTTCGTACAGCTGGAGCGTAGAAATAAAAAGAGAAATATTTTCTAGATTACGAACTATATTTAATATGTAACTATATATAATATATAGATCCTTGCAGTAATAATTTTCTATACGAAACGAAAGTTAATCTCTACAAGAACAATTGTAAGAAAAATATAGAATCAGATTTCGTTGGTATAACGTTCTTATGGGTTGATTTATCGCTAAAAGTGTCTGTGTACAACACACGATTACATATATTACGATTAAATATATTTAATGCTATAAAAAATATTTCTCTTTTATTTTTACGCTATATGAATACTTTTGCGTTTCACATTTAAAGTGATGATCGATCTGCTTGAAAATAACCAGGGATTTGATCGATTTTGCTCCAGGAAGAGACCATCCGCTGGTCAACTCTTGGAACACCGGTGGCTGGAGGTGGCTTTGGAGAACCCGATTTGTAAAAGTAGATTAAAGCGGTACGTCATCAAGAAGAGATGGATCAAGGCGGTTAACACGATACTGGCGTTGAGACGAATGGGTGCCCACTTAGAATTCGATTTAGCTTGATGTCCTCTACTACTAGATTGTTTTTAGATAGCGAATTAATCCCTAAGTTTAGTTAACGACCCTCGTTAAGCCTAAAGAAACGATTTCTGAGCGATGATTCTTGGACGAGATACTTGCATTAACGTAACCGTGTAAAGTATTATCTCATCTCCCCTAGTTTGCGTCTCTGTTAAGATAACGTAACGATCAAACCATTCGCATGTGTAATGGAATTGACGTTGGACGCTTGTAACCTTTTCTTAGGCACCGAAATTTTAGAATTTAATTAATATCTCCCTCGAACTGTACATTTGGAAACTGTGACAGTATTATAGATAACATTGAACACGGCGAGAATAATTTCCATTTGAAGAATGTACGAGAAACGATTATATGCCTGGATATATAATTATTCGAACAAATTTTTCAATACTTTTCATCGTTACTATTTAACGTATTTCACTATACATATCTTTTCTTACTTGTATACGAATGCAACACGTGAAACGTACAGTGTAGCGATGCTTATTTATTTATCACAGCAGTTAGAACTTCATTACTTGTTAATTTCAATTAGATATATGAATATAATTTAAGGGAAACTTATATCAGTGCACATACGTATATATATTAAAATGATTAATTTATGATAATAATTTTTCAGTGAGAACCTTTAAAACTTATTTTCTTCTCAAATGTACTAGAAAACCTCTTTTCACTAGATGCTAGGAATTTCGATTGAATTCTCTTTTACTTAGATTTAGAATAGCCATTAATTAATTAAAATAAGTTTAACTATAATTTTGATCAATTTCTTTCCATTTAATTCATGCTTTGGCATCAATCGACGTCTCAATGATGTAAGTACTTCATAATACTCCATTATTATATTATTAACACTTATCAACGTGTAATTCTATCAAATTGAACAAGGTTACAATTTTCTTATTCACATTTTTGACAACGATTATGCATGTAATGCATATATTACTTTTCAAGTAAGGTCTGGTTGCGCCGTTAAATTGTCGTCAATCAATTAAATTGGACGTTAAATTGTCTCTTTGTTGTTACGTGTGATGAATTACGTCCGTCGTAGATTTACAATCCGCATTTCTGGTACGACGTGCATGGCGTGTTCGCTTCTGGCCACGATTAATAAATACTAAAAGGTCGACATTGACGCCAACGTCGATAATATACACTCGTTCAGCCACGAAAATTCCAACAGCCGCCGTGTATTGTGAATTTACGAGGCCTCCGCGAGATAGGAATTCGTATTATGTAAATACGCGCATGTAACGCACCAGCCGTGCCTTTAAATAAAGTCTTCTACAGTGTCGTGCACGACACGAAGCAGCACGATGTTGTATTATATTAATAGATGTAGTTCCACCTGTTATCTGACATCTTCTGTTCTCAATCGCTGTTGCTTCTCTTGCTCGTTGCGCGGACAAAGCCGTCAAATAATTCGACAAATTCAACGAAACTCGATAGAGCGATGATAAAGATAAAAATGATGGTAACAACAATGTTTAAAAGCCAGTCGCTATAGTTATATATATGGTTTATAGAGTATTTTATGTATTTTAGAGTTTTCGAGCTGATTTATAATTTTCTTTTTAACAAAATAATTTTTTTTTGATGTGGGAATATATTGATATGATTTTTTTGACAAAGTAGGTAAATTTTAAGTTCCAATTTACTTTGTTAAAAAGTATAGAATAAGTCTACTCAGCGCGTGATATAATCCCGTGAGAATAAAGTAAAATGTGTTTTAATTAGTGCAACTGTATATAATCTTTTGAACTAATTTATTGTCTGCAATAAATGGGAATGATCGGAGAGTTTCAAATAATTTGCCATTTATATTTGCTTGCTAATATTGCATACAGATGGCGACATCGTATAATCTGAAATTGTTTTCAATATTGTCATATGTATTTGTCACGTCGTGGGAAAGATTATGTTATTATTTTTTGATTTTAGAAAATATTGATTAAGAATAATTACAAGTAGAAACTTTTTGAATGTGACGTGTGATAATAGTCTTTTTCTTTGTATTTCTTAACGCATTGTCGCCAATTTATTTTCACAAAGATGGTAGGTAAATGATATATTATAAATAAAAATAATTTCATGTTTCTTTTTAAAAATATTTTAAAACAAAAGTATTATATGTTAAAATACTATTTCAATATACGCGTACAATTTTGAAGGTTAGGTTTTGCTTGGTTAGGAATACATAACCATTATATTCTTTAGGTTGTATTTCAATATATTTTAAAGTATTTATATTTTAGGCTAATGTACTGCAGAATTGGAGTCCCTACGCCAAAGAATATGATCCGTTGAAAGCAGGAAGTATTGATGGTACAGATACAGAACCACATGATAAAGCTATTAGTCGTGCAATGCAAGCGCATTATGAACCACCTCGTGGATTAAAATCAAAACCACAAAGAACGTTATTCGTCGCGAGGTTTGGTTCAAAGATCACCAAACATGATTTAAAAGAGGTATAATAATACTTCTGCCTTTATATTTTTATAAACATATATATAGTTTAAGCATTAATAAATTTAGTTTTTTTCTAGATACGGCGAAGTTGTATCAGTGAAAATTATAGTTGATGTTGTAACTGGGCTATCTCAGGGTTATGGATTTGTTGAAATGAGAAGTGAAGATGAAGCTGCAAGAGTCATTAGACGCTGTGTTGATGTTACGCTAAAGGGACATCAAATTTTTATAGATTATGAATGTGGACGTACTTTGCATGGATGGAAACCAAGGAGACTTGGTAAATAATTAGATATTGTAATAATATCTGCAAAATGGGTGTCATATTTTAAATCTGTTATAATTTTGTAGGTGGTGGTTTTGGTGGCAAAAAGGGATCAGGTCAGCTTAGATTTGGTGGAAGAGATAGGCCTTTTAAAAAGCCAATTGTACCTAATATTATTAGGTCTAATCCTCACCATCAAGAACATCATCATCATCATCAAGAACATCACCACCATCAAGAACATCATTATCATCAAGAACATCATCGTCATCATTATCACTAAGAAAGTTTTATATTTATAACGTAATTCAAAAAACGTAAAATTAAACGTAAAATTTAACGTAAAATTCAATAAAAATGAAACATTAGAATACTTTCTAACAATATTTTTGTGTTGTACCTGCATAATTTTGATTTTATTGTAATACAAATATTGGAAATTTATATCTGCATCCTTTAAACGTATTAGAAGACTGTTTATGTATTACGAAACGCTCAACTATTATTAAACATTTATTTTGTAACATATAATAAAACATTTAATAAAATATTTAATATTCTTTTAGATTGTTTTCTAAAATAACATTCAAAATTAAATAAGTAGAAAATCCCCATTAAGAAATCTATGTCTGAATTCTCATAATGTTTTAGTTTTAATGTTTTAGAGAATCTTTTCTTTCGGCATTGCGTAATTTCACGCTGATGCCAAAACTATTTGCGTAAATTATATTGTTTACGTTTTTGAAAATTACAAAACACATTCTCAAACACTACAGCATTCTTTTTAAAATAAATCGTTGGCCTATCTCAAAGAAACAGTTTTAATTTATTTAAAATAAAACATTTTTCAATTCTTCAATTTCAACATAAATTATCGTAACACAACTTCGTTCGTAATACAATGTCACAACTCAATTTTATGTCGCTGCAAAAACTCCATTTAATTATTTTGGTCCAAATAAAACCCTAGAATGCACTTAACTATTTAATTTATTTCATCGGAAGATAATTAATGCGTTAACGATTAACGACGTCCATGCCATACGTATAGAGTTGATGAATTCAATTATTTATTCAAATCAAATCCACTTTATAATGGAACTTTCATCGAATCAAATAAAATTACTTGTACAAAGTTCTTTTTTGTATAAAAGTAGAATAAAATAATTAAATTCCTTTCCAATTCTACCTTCAAGACTGTATATATATATCTCCGGAATTTCATATTAAGATCTTGAAATGATTCAACCATGTCAAACCAAATCAAATTTATTTTCTGATGAACCTTTCGTAAGATAAACTAAAATTACTCCAATTACTATATCTTTGTAACAACATCATCTATATGTCCCTTCTCAACTGTCCCGCCTCCATTAAGATTTATATTCTTGCTGCGTATTCGAAGTCTCGCGTTATAGCTACAAAATAATTCAATTCCATGCGAAACCAAATCCAACCACCCACTTTGTAACAAACTTTTCGTTAAATCAATCACTCTATTTATCAAACGACTCCGGTTACTAATAGAACGGAACGTCATCCTCTCGACTTCATCTTCGAGATTTATACTTCCTCTCTACATTCGCATTAAAACGTGAGAAGATGTTAAGTTTCTCGAGTCGGATAGGCGCGTGAGAGACTATAACAGACGTCGTATGACCAATTAATTAGCGATGAATCGGGAGAGCGCGGGCAGAGCCAACAGAGCCAGCAGAGCCGAGCATTCTGGCGTGGTGTGAAGCGACGTCGTCAGCGTCGTGGAACTTTATACTCGAGCGTCGTCGGCACCCTCTCCCTAGCACGGCTCCCTCCATATATGGAGCCGCCTCGTGGCCCGACGTCGGCAACGCGGACGAAGTTTCAGCCTCCAGACTGCCTCTGATAAGGTAGCCACCTCCTTTGACTCGTCTCTTTCTGCCTCCTCCGCCTTCGCCAAGGTCTCAGAGGGGCAACCCACATTGGTTTATCGCGGCTCCTATTTGGTCGGTACGGACGCTGCTCCCGTTTTCACAACATAAACGCTGCGCTCTGCCGCCGGTGCTTTTTTTATTCACGGACACAGCTGCCGGCGGTGGCAGTTCGTATACTCACGATTCTGTCACTGCTAGATGTTTCATCCTCTCTCGAGCTCGACTTTTAGACGCTCGACTTTTTCTGTTCTATTTGTTTTGGGGGGGGAGGGGGGGGGGCAGAAGGCTGGTTGAAGACTCATTTTCATACGAGCGTATTAAAATATTGAGGAGAAATAGGGGAAGTATTTGTCTATATTTGTAATCTATATTTAATATTTTGTAAAATAAATGTTTGCATCAAGTTGTAAAAAAAATGACTGAAAGTCAAGCTTGTGTGCAGTATCGTGGATAATCAAATTTTTAAACTACACTTTACAGATTTTTAAGACACATGGAGCATTGTTCAATTCTTTCAGTTTTGAAATAAATAAATAGTACTTGTCTTTTAAGTCAGAGTGTATATAGAATTGAAGAGAAAATATTTTTGTTATATATTTGTAATTTTTTTTATCTGTGAATAATTAATATCTCATCTAATAAAGGTCCTTGAAGACTTTTTGTAATATAGAAATTTACAAATCTTACTGAATTATGAATATAGAGATAGATGTAGATTTATTGGAAGATATGCCAGTAGTACAGATAAACGTTTCTTCATGCAATAATAAAATTGCAGAGATTTAAACAAGATGTGAATTCCTAGCAGTTGTTTCTCCGTTCCAGTACAACCACTGAATAACATGCAGAATATTATACTAATTTTTTATACCATCCTTCAGGAGTTATATCCATATCTTTATTTTTCCCTTTTCGTAATCTCGCGTTTGCACATTCTCACGTTTGCACGTTCCCGCATTTTTGCCTCGCATATTTGAATTTTCCATCTCTTTAATATGTTCTTTATGACTTTGAAATTTCATTTTACACCGTTAAATCTCATAATATCCCCTTCAAATGAGGGGAAGGAAATTTTATTCCGCCTGACATAAATCTCTTTACTAACCCTTCGACGAAAGATAAGATAATTACTTTCGTAATAAATATTTTTCCTACTATCTTATCAGAAAGATAGTGAAAATTCATCGTGAATTAACGAATTCTAAATATGAATATTACTCGTTGTTTCGCCATACTAGATATAATAAAAAATGAAACGATAAAGTCACAATCAATCATTGTCTCAACATTCTGAATAAAACGTTTGATGATAGAGCATCAATAGTCTCTGTGTCGTCTTTTCATTATCAACGAATAAATTACCGTACCGTATTCCAGTAATAATAATAATTACATTAATTTCGCGTGCACAAAGTGCGTCGCGGGTGACTTTCAGTAAAGGAGCTGCCAGCTTCATATTGTTATTTGCTGGAGGGTAAATATATTATAGTGGTAAGTATATCCATGCAGACCAGTGAGCAGTAAACTTCCCATTGGTGGTGAGGTTGGACGCGAAATGACTACGGGACAGATATAATGTAGCTATATCAGCATCAGAAATAACTTACTCGAGGAAAAATTTATCTGAATATCTCTGCTTTCGCTCTAGCATCTGTATTACAGATAATATTCGCTCCGAAAGGAGCACGGATAAATTTAATACTTTCCATATACCTGTTCAGATAGATATTTTTTAATATTTTAATTTATATTATTATTAATAATTTAATTATATTTTATAATATAATATTATAATTTAATCTTATTTGATATTATTAACTACTTAATTTAATATTAATAATTAATTACATTTTGTAACATAATATTATAATTTAATCTTACTTGATATTATTAACTACTTAATTTAATATTAATAATTTAATTATTATTTTGTAATATAATATTATAATTTAATCTTATTTGATATTATTAACTACTTAATTTAATATTAATAATTTAATTATTATTTTGTAATATAATATTATAATTTAATCTTATTTGATATTATTAACTACTTAATTTAATATTAATAATTTAATTATTATTTTGTAATATAATATTATAATTTAATCTTATTTGATATTATTAACTACTTAATTTAATATTAATAATTTAATTATTATTTTGTAATATAATATTATAATTTAATCTTATTTGACATTATTAACTACTTAATTTAATATTAATAATTTAATTTATATTATTATATATTCAAATATTTTAAAATTTCAAGTATTAAATATCTCAAAGTTATCCGTGTTTTTGTATATATGAATTGTGGTAAAAGATGCTTTTTAATTTTGAAAAAAAAAAGTGAGAATTCTTTGCTGTACATTTTAAATTCGATCGAAAATACAGCAATGTCAGCGAGATTCGTATCTCTAACAAAAAAATGTTAATCGACTAGAAAAAGATTTTAGGTAAGGTACATAAATTTTTCTGCAGTACACGCAAGTAATTATCGCACGAATATTGTAAATTAGGATTAGACGGAAAGTCTAATCGACTCTACACGTCAAGTTTTCCTACGATGGGCGTTCAAATACTTTCGTGACGCATTGTGAATATATTTGGAGTAAATTCTCGCGAGAAATATGGCGGGCCTATTAATAAACATGCCATGCGTGATAGCGCATGCAACGTGATTATTTTCAATCGGTTGAACCGTATGTATTAATGCAAAACTAACAAATTGCGGAACGCAATCGTGTTGCTGATTGCTGTTCTACAGTTTTGCAATTTAAATCGTAGAAAACCGTCGAACGTGTTACGTACACACGTTCTGTTCACTCTGACTCGATGATCTAGTTCTCCGCTGTTATTTCTCTGTTTGCTATTTGCTTGAATTCGTTATGTCCGTAAATTTTCGTGCTTTTATTGGTTGCAATAATATTTGGAGACCGGCGGAGCAATATACGTCATTCGAGTTTCATTTTGAAATTCAATTGTCGGGTCAATTAATCTCATATTACAGCGACATCGTATTTTTTTATTTGGCTTTCGGATGAAATATGTATTTTTATCCTCTTGAATATTTTCAAAAAACCACGACCTGATAGTCGTAACGTTTGTCAATTTAATTCTGTATAAAACTGTCTCGGTGTATATTTTTCTGCCCTTTTCTCAGTTGCAGTTGCACTAAGGCACTTTGCCTAAGTTATCAAGTAGCATGAGAAAATTAAAAAGCTTAACAAAAGTAAACTTATCAGATTTTCTTTTCTCTGTATTATATTATATTATTTATATATATATATATATATAAATAATATTATATGTTATTAAATATTTCTACACAAGGGAACTATTGTTTCTTTTACATATGAGAGACTGAGCTCTCCATTACTGATAAGTCCAACGAATATTTCGCGCAGTTCTTTTTCTCAAACATACACACATACACATACACGTTCAAAGTAACCTTTTAAGAGGATATTTCAGAAAACGACCGAGAGAAAAAGCTACGTTTTTTCCCGTACGTGATGAACAGCTCCGTCGAATAAACGTTCTCGTAAAACGTTTTTTAATTCACTGCAATTTCCAGCTTTCGTCCCTTTCTTCCTCCCCCACCCCCGCGGTCAGGCGCGAGCACAATTACCGACTCAAGATTTTTCGCTCTGCCATTAAAGGTACACCCTCATTTCCCCTCTTTCCTTTACGCCAGCCAGAGAACGGAAGCGAAGGTAAAGAGAAAACGTGAAAAGGTTCGCAAGTGGTTGCCGCATAACGTTTGAATAAATTTCTATTTTTAAATGGCCGCGGATTACGGCGGAGAGAATGTTCCGCCTTTGCGAATCGAAGCTGTTACCGTCTCGACGTGCATCTCAGAACGTTTAATCGCGAGAGGTTCTTAGAATTTGAAACGACGGAGGAAGCAGATGCTTATCAAGCAAGTTGTCGAATGTCGGCTGGTTTCTATTAAATCATTGAATCACTAATGGCGAATAATCGTTTAATAAGAGTTCAATTTCTCGGGAGTCAAACTGATCAGCATTGGTGCCAATAACTTCTAGTACCAATAACTTTTTAATTTCATTGTGGATAATTGAATAATTGATTGGACGTTAGTTGCAGTAGGTAATAATCGTTCAATATTAACTGTAGGTAATCACTTTGAAGTTAGTTGGAGGGCTAGAGTTTTTAGAATCAGAGTTAAATATTGGTGTAACAATCAGCTGATTATTGAACTACTTGGTGGTATAGTAGATAAAAATATATGCGAGTATTGCCTCGTTCATTTTGAATAGTGATTCATTAAGAGAGAGAGAAAGAGAGAGCTGTTTATTGCGTTTATCAACTGAAGGTACTTTAATATGATTATTGATTAACTGTGAAATTTCCAATTGTTTGGAGTGGAAATTTCATTAATTTATATTGATATATTTAATTGTAATTTATTTTTTAAAAATTTCCATCACACAACTTATATTATGACCAGTTTATTCTAGTAGATTGTATCCTAGCTAGTCGGACAGTATTCCACTACGCTCAAAATTGATCTGTCAAGTTTCAAGGTATTCTTAATGTCTCCAAAATACCAAACGTCTGTCTACTCAAATTTCTCAACATCTTGTAACACCTGCTAACAATGGTGATGTTTAAACCTCGATTCAACAATAACAATTCTCCAACCAAGAACACCTTTCATCCCTTCATTTCGGAAGGAAAGCAAGAAAAGGAAAATAACAAAGGAAGAAGTATCATCTGTCGTGGCTTGAAGATGAAGCTTCTAAATCAAGTTACTCGATAACAACCACACCAACAAAGTACAACTCCCCAACTAAGAACTCGCTGCTGAAGTGAGTAAGAACAAGCACAAATCATCATTTGCTGTGACGTAGCTCCCCAATCAAGTAATTCAATGACGATCAATCCGATCCGAGTGAGGGACGTCGTTTCGTTCGTCGTCGCAAAGTTCACCGAGGAAAGGAAAGGGGAGAAAAGGCAGAAAGCACGCGAGGGTTAAAAACGACAAGAAGGAGTGTAATAATCCGGCGTCGGCTAGCGCAGCTCCTAATCAAGTTATTCAAAATTCGCACATCCCTTCCAACTTGACTCGATTCCATCGATGATTCGTGTCGGCTGATCATAGGTGTTTGCGGGGGCGGAGAGACAGGCGGCCGAAGCGGGGTCCAACGCGTACGTACGTAGAAGGGACGAAAATAGTAGCGTGCCAGGATCGTATCACGCTCGCGCCCCACGGACGCGTGTTCGGATCTGCTTTCTATTAATAGCGGGAAACGAAAGGGAGCGGATCCCCGAGCCGGCACTCGGATCGCCGTGTAGCCATCGTGCACCGAGTCTTGGTGCTGTCTAGGCCCCGATCGCAGGACTTCAGAGCCGCTCGAGCTGTCGCGGACTCCACATTCCACCGGCAAAAGCTCTTCCGTGCGTGCCTGTTGAGAACTCATCTCTTGCTCGGCTGGTGCCCCGAGGCGAAGACCCCTCGTACCACACGTCATACACACATACATACACACACATTACACACACACACAGCCTCCCACTCACCCGTACAACATTGCCGCATAGACATTCACAGCCGTTCGAGTGTAAGTTTCTTAATAAGCATCATATATTTTTTTTTTTCTTCTCTTCTCTGCCGATGTGTGCTTCAACTTGTTTGACTTGGTTGATACTCCAGTGATACCGTAACGTTTTCCTACTCGATCTTCGTCCGTCCGTTCGTTCGTTCGCACGTCGATCTACGATACAATCGAAGTGAATCGAAGCGTTTGCTCACGGATCAAAGTTTTAGCGTTTAGTTCGGGTTACTGTGACGCGACACGATCGACCAGACACAGAGAGAGAGAGAGAGAGAGAGAGAACTGCCTCGTCCATCGATTTCAAGCGCGCCATGAATGAAAACAGAAGGCAAGGCAAGAGGATGTCGAAGTATGTGAAAGTGAAACGACCACGGTGGAGATCAAGCTCGTTTGAACGTGGAGCGGCAAGTTGTTTCGACGATCCAGTTTTCTCGAGTTGGAAGAAGTTTGACTATACGAGTTGGACACATGTATATGATACATATATGATATAATAGACGGTTGGTACAGAGACGGTAAACAGGTTGAAGGATAGTCCCGAAGGCTCTGTGTAAATCTCTGTCGAACGAGCAGAGATATCTGCTAGACTAGCGAGGATTTATGAGCAAACGCCGCTGCTGGAGCGCAAGTGGTGTCTGACTATGTTGTGACTTTATCTACTGCAACTGCTGCTATTCCGGAGATCGGGTATCTCGTTGACCTCGCGCCGGAAACTTTGAGCAGAAAGTCTCTCTCTCTCTCTCTCTCTCTCTCGTGGAAAATAACTGAACAAATTTCCGGAGGATATTTGAAGCAACATGGTGGAGAAACTGGTCGGGTCTCCGTTGGAATTTTGTCTCGCCTTCCGTTTGTCTTTTTTCGATGGTGCTTTCATTCGACGGCTATTATGTGACTCGTTGATCGTTCCGGAAATTAGTTATCGAGTTTAGGATGTCTCCGTTGCTCCGTGAACGTGGCTTTCAATTTAATAGACGAACCGGCGAACAAAGCACGGCGTAACAATAGCCAGTAACAAATATTCGATACCGATATGGATATCCGAATGGGAATTTGATTTCCAAGTTTCTCGACGACGACGTTCTTCTTTGAGACTTTTCTTTTTATTTCAATCTTTTTCAATTTCTGTTCAGACAAACGGAGAAATCTCTCTAACACACAGATAGTATATAGCTCGATACATGAATTCGCGGAGAGACGTAATTTATACACGAGGCAGTATGTTGAAAATCATGATAATCGTACAATTTTCGATCGTCAATTTTCTATTGTGTTAATTCAACGCGATAAATTGAGATAAATCCCGCACAATGAAACGTTAATTCCCATCTTCGATGCAAGGGGACAAGGCTTTGAGCTCAAGTTTTTCAATTTAATGGTTTGAAAATCGTATAACCGCGAGGGATGGAGTTATTTCCCCCTTTAGTAGAACGGACGGAACAAAAAGCACGGATATAGAACGGCGTTGGCGCCGTTGATAACTCACCGCCTATAAATGTACGTGTACGGGCGAATATCTCGTTTCAAGACATTCTGTCGTGACGCGTGTAATTATGTAATATTGTTTTCACTCCCACGCGTCCGTACGTTTGGCGACGCTGTAACACCACGCCGAGCAATTTGCAAAATTAGCATCGTCAAGCATCGTCCAGATTTCATCTGAAAATTCCCCCCCGTTCCTCTCCCTATCGGGACTTCGACGAACCGATTAATTCGCGATCTCTCGGCGCCAAGCTCGGAATGACCGCGAGTGCGAGTAGCATCAACGGAGGGAAAAAGAAAGAGAGAGAGAGAAAAAAAACAGAAAAGAAACGTGAAAAGGACTTTATCAATTTTCGGGGATTTTTCGTCTTTCGGATGCTGCATTTGTTCGCACACGGGAACAGCGAGTTCGATGAAGACAACGAAGATGAGGTCGAAGAGCATACGAAGGAACTTCCATAGAGAGCGAAGGAGGCGAACGAACGAACGAACGAACGAACGAGAAGATAAGAAAGGGAAATGGCGGGGGAGTGAGAGTGAGAGAGAAAGAGAAAGGCGATAAGCGAAGGAAGGAAGGGAGAAAGAGATAGATGGAGCGAGAGAGAAGAGAGTATAAGTCGGTTCTCTAAAATTAGAGCGACTAGGAAGAAGAGAAGGGGACGGCTCCTTATAGAGCTTGCAACGTCGAGCTTGCGGCCAGGGTTAGCAAACTGGCACTCTCTTTCTCGTCTCAGAATATCAGATTACCTTTGCACCGGTGCATCGTCTCGCCCCTTCGACTTCTTCCTTTCTTTTCCAGCTTTCTCTTTCCCGCGGCAGCAAGGTTCGATTTTACGCTCAACTTCGTCTCTGTCTCTCTCTCTCTCTCTCTCTCTCTCTCTCTCTCTTACGCTCTCTTCATTTTTATCTGTGAACCCGTTGTTTACTGAAAATTTCCTGCGAGAAACGTGCGAGAAGCCACGTACAATCTGGCGTCCAGAGACTCGGACGATCGAATCGCTGGCACGCGCCGATTTTTAATCGGCCATTTTTCCCACCGCAAGGATTTTCCGCCTCCCTTCATCCGGAGTGTACCGACCGATATTTTCCGACGAACGCAAGACAGTAGACACTTCACTCGTGCCAGAGTGTGCGATTTTCGCGCCAACACACCGATCTATTCGTTCGTTTTGGGAGAGATCGAGCCTCGGCAGGCAGACGATTCGATCGTTCTTTTCCCTGTGTTCGTGTGAAAACTCGCGATCGAGTAGTAGCTACGCGTTGTGTTAATCGGTGGTTTGTTTGCGTGTTGCAGTAACCGTAACCACCAGCAAACATGTCTGACGACGAGGAGCAATACTCGTAAGTATTCAAAACCGGCCAGGAGAATATCCTGAAGAGACGATCCATCAAACTCCTCGACACTCGCCGTTGCGTCGTTCGATGCTCTCTCAGTTTCATTTTTTTTTCTTTTTTTCAACGGAGAGGATTCACCTCCCTCTTGTAATAATCGTCGATGATTCGCGAACGAGGGAATCGTCGAGGAAAATGGCACACGTCCCGACGATTGATAAATCGAAGACGAAGCGGAGCGTTACGCAAGAGATACACGTGCATCGAACGTTACCTGAAAAAACGAGACGAGGCACGTTGCTTGAATATATCCGTGAAAAAGTTTCTCGGGGAAGCAACCGGGGAATGTCGAGGATGTCTCAGTTGTGAGGCGTAACTTTAGGTTAAGGGATAGCAGATAGATGTGTACAGCTCATCGGAAGCGTCACAGAAACATGTCGTCGATAGATCACGTACCTTACAGTCTTTCTTAGTGGCGATTTGCAGGGTCGAGTAAATGTCGCTGAATTCTAGTTACGTTCTCGATGCGACTCATCGGGTTGAGATTGTACCACCGTAAATCGAGGATTTACCGAGATTCATCTCCCCCCACTCCCCTGTCGATGTTGATCGTTGTCACGCAATGAACGATATATCCGACAAAACAAATTTCGTCCACGTAAGATGAAAAATCCTCTCCGTGATTTGTGCGCTCGTATTACGTTCCCCTCGTTGTTTAATGCGTTCTCATCTCGATATGTATCCCGTCCAACCCCCCTCCGCCTTAGAGTTTTGTTGTGAAAGTACAAGTACCAACCCTTATAACCCCCCCACACCCACGTGTCTTTGTGTTGAACAAATCGTGATCGTTGCACGTCATCCCCTTCGTTGAATTGCACGCTGAAAATACGTTCATTTTCTTACTTTACGTTCGAAGGAATTAGTTTATTCGTAGTATTGTAGGAAATTATTTAGGATGTTATTTGGACGTTAATAAGAAGCAAAGGATAAGAAGCTTCGAATTTTTGAACGGGAGTGATTCGTTATCTTAACGAAAATCGAGATAAAATTTGGAATTCACACGGCCGACCGAGATCATGGCCGAAAGGGTGTTCGTTTATTCTTGAAAACGAGCAAATTCAGAGTTCAAAGATGAGTCATCCGGTTGGATCGAACTTTAGCTATATTCAGCGTGGTGGATAGACACGTATCCAGAAATGTTGCGACAAAATTCTTTTCGCTCGTTGTCTGTTTATTTAAATCAATACGGAAGGCTAAGAATCACAGTATTTCCGCACGAGACAATATTATCCAAATACTCGAACTCTTCACTATATTCTGTCAAATACTTTAAAAAGTTTCAACATTTGGAACTTGGTATTCTAAAATTTTGTCATTTTTCTAAATTCTAAATTACTATTGTGAAAATTTATTATATTCTTGCAACATGTACATAAATACCACTCAAGATCTAAATTCAAATTGTCAAAATTTCAATTTACATCACTTTCAAATCCGTCGTGCGACACACGTTGAAAAAGCAGCGTGAAATAAGAAAAAATTTCTCCATTTAAAACGTTTCTAGCGTGCAATCCAGTTACAGACCCCGTAGAAACGTCCACTTGCCCGTAGCCACACGAGAATGTGCCCCTGACCCAAAGCCCGATTTTTGTTCTAGCGATTTTCTTTTGATTGTTCATTTAGTACTCACCCCCCCCCCCCTCTCTGTTCACCTGTACCCGGTGACTAACAAATACCGTTTTCCATTTTCTGTTTTACAGCAGCGAGGAGGAGGTGGTCGAGGAAACGTAAGTGTTGCTTGGTAATTCGTTAATTCCCGTGGAGATCGTGCCCGAAAATACATCTAACGTCCACGTTCTCTCATTTTCTCATTCCAGGAAGTAAGTTCCAGAGGCGTGTCTGCGTTTAGGTGTCTGCTACCACTGCGCAGTCACCGCAGGGGAGTCGTAGTTGTCGTTTTCTGATTTCGATTACAGATTCTAGACTCCTTTGGCGGTGCAACGGTTCCCAACGAGCCGAGCATCGCATTCCTTCTAACCGCGATCGTCCCGTTCCATTCGGAACGATCGTTCATTGTGCTCTAGGGATTAGGGATTTTTTTTTTTTTTTTCGTCTGTTACTTATGGATCACTTTCAAGGATTCTGGTAGTTTCTAGAGAGATCGTTTCTCGATCGAACGTGATCAGTGTTCCAAAATTAATTAACGTCGAAACTTTGAAGCGAGGCAATCTAAAATTTAGATAAATTTCGGGAGTAATACAGAATTATGAAAATTGGAGATTTTTTTTGCTAATTGACTGGCTGTGTGAACTTGTTTAACTCAACGACGAATCGAAACAGTTTGTTAAACAGTTCGTGTTCGCTCGTGAAACACGAAGCCAGTCAGAATTAGACGAAACGTGTTTCTTCGACGAACGAAAATAGGACGGACTGCTCTCGCTGCCTTGATTTACACAACAGCAAAAAAAGAAAAACGAAACGAAAATGAATCTTTCATCTAGCCTGCAGGCAAAATTTGCGATCGCAATTGCAATGCAAAACAATACGAGGCCAGTGATTTTCATATTCATAACTGATTTTCATTTCGACCAATTATTAAATCGTAGCCATAATATCCGACGGAATATTATTACCTTCCATCACGTCTGTTTTAAAATGCTGTTTTCACGTCGGTGGACAGATATCAAACGAAACGAAATTCCCGTCATTCCGGTCAGTCAATTCGACGAAGGATTTTCAATTTTCAACGAGGCCTCCACTTATAGATCGTACGCAGCGAATGGAAGTGGCTAAATGGAACTTTCGAAAGTGCAAAAGCTGTATCGAAAAATCGCGCTCGTGGCCGAGAGCGATCTCTCTCGAACTATTGTTAAAATTAGAAACCGAGTCGTGCTTCTCTCGCGAAAATAGAGCAGACAAATGGCGTCCGGGTATCTCCGAACCGAACGAATCGAATATTAAATCACCGATGTCGTTTTATCGCCTGACCGATCGAGAACCCATGGAACCGCGAACCGTGATATTTTCCCCCGTTACGAGCACATTTATAATTCTCGCGTCGATGGAGAGTCTCTCTCTCTCTCTCTCTCTTCCTCCAGTTCGCGCGACACCGATCGACCATTTTCATCTAGCATGCTCGTCCAACGTAAAACAATTTCCACTGACGCGTTCGAAGAAAAACATCGAATCGTCTCGAACAAAACCGGAAGAACCGCCGGGAAATATCTCGTCCGCGCGAGGGGAATTGAAAACGAAAAACGCGTTGTGAATCCGCGATACTTCTCGGCGGGTTCTTTTGCCTCCTCGACGAAAAAGAGACTATGAGATCGAGGAGAAAGAGCAACGATTATCAGCCTCCGGATTTATCGGGAAACGGTTAGTTAGCAGACACTCCAGTTCGTAGACACCTTCAATTTTTTTCTTTTCACCGATATTATATCATATCATTTGACTTTGATTTATGATCTTCGTTTTTTTCTTTTTTTCTCTGTGTCCCTCTGTCGATAACGATCCATACCTTATCGACCGATATCTCCGCAATATAACGCACGAAAAAAATATTCGAAAAAAAAAAAATTACCAACCGCTCGATCGATCGATCGATCGAAACTGCCAATCATCATCGACCGAACACGGCCAACGCGGCGCGAATTGACAAATTGACAAATCAAAGGCAGCCGGAGAGGAAGATCGAGTAAGTTTCCATGCGCACAGCAATTCTTACGTTCAGCCTTGTATCTTGTTTCACAGGCAGCTATTTTTCGCAATGTTCACTTCTCTCGTCTCTCTCTCTCTCTCTCTCTCTTTTTTTTCTCAAGTATCTTTTCCACTCTTTCTCTGTTTATTTGCTCTACTACTTTCTTCTGTCTATCTTTCTCACTTTCATCTTTCTTTTTTTTCTTTTTTATCTTTGTTAATCGTCTAACCGTTCTATTGCTGTTGGCGTTGTTGTTGTTGTCGTCTTGTATCAAGTTTAGCATACCTGTTCGTCTGCTATCTCGCACTCACGTATCACTTTGTTGTGTAAATGCAATGTATTTTCTGTACTTTTCTTTTTTTTTTTTTTTTTTTTATTTCTTGCCGTATACTACAACACACGAACAGCAATGTTTTTCTCTCTGGCTCTCTATCGTATTTCTACTCTCACGCTTTCTGTTGTCGTCGATGTTCGTTTTTTGTCCAACGAAACGTACACGCTCTCTTGCGCTCAATTGTCTTTCTCGTTTACGCGATAATCGACGATCGTTCTTTTTCTTTTCTCTTTCTTTTTTCCTCTTTTCTTTTTTTTTTTGCGAAAAAAATCACCTCTTTCTCCGAAGCGTCGTCCGAGCATTTGTCGTTAATCATTATCGCTCTTCTCTGTTTGCTTTTCTTTGCCCGCTCTCTTTGCTGCTCTCCAAAAGGAAATTTCATTGTATCATGGATATGATTAATTTTTTCCATCATAATTTCGAAGAATTGTCTCTCTCTTTCGAAAATCACTTCGTACGCTCGGAACCATCTTGTTCTCTCTCTCTCTCTCTCTTCTCAAGATTTTCCAACCTTGGCAATTTCACGCGCCTTTCATCTCGAGATTTTTTCCCCCAACCCCGTCGAGAAATCATACGAGCCACTTATCTCGCCCAGTAGATGGAATTTTCAAGTTAAACGTTAAAATAATCCGATATCGTTGCTCGTGTCGCGGTGGCAATGAAAAATCGCCTCTTTCACTCGGGCATTAGCGGAACGTGCCGGTGTCGCTTCTGCTTTTCATTCACTCGTCTGCAAGTGAAATTATTGCTCGTAAATGTCGATGCCGTCTGTACGAGACACGTTTCTCTCCTTCTTCTAGGAGGAGAGTTTGATCTTTTTTTTTTTTTTGTTTTTCGAAAAAAACCACATGTGTACGTTCTGTTACTTTTTTCTCAGTCCCCTCTCCCTCCCATTGTTTTTCACATTTTTCACTCCCTGTTTTTCTCGTAACAGAATTTTCTTTCGATTTTTCAGTTATTACACGTATACGTATTTTTTTGTTTCTTTCACGGTTATCGGAAATGTTGTTATCGTTGAATTTATTGCGAATAAACGGAAATGTAATCAACAGATGCTACCTTTGTTTTTTCACTCTGTTGATTGGTCCGTCTTCACATTGTTATCTTTGGTGTTGTTGTGTCGGTGTTGCTGTGTCGATGTACGGTTGAACAAGTATGTCTATTTTGTAGCTGTTTTTGATATACCTCTCACGTGTAACAACGTCTCGGAGATACCAGTGTTCACATTTTGAACGAAGCAGGCATGACCGTGTACGAATGCTTGAAAAGTGGAGAAACAGTTATCTAAATTTTACCTCCGAACGTGTATTTCCTGAAAGTTAACATTTTCGCTGCTCTAAAAAGTCTATGACGAAAGCAACGTTTCAAAGGAATAATTTTTCTCGAAAGCACATGTACACTTCACTCGTCGAAAACACGTGGCTTCGGACGAAGTGGTGTTACGCGTTACAAAAATCATTGTACTTTGTTTTAAATTCGACTTTCAAATGACCGCGATAGTACCTTTTTGAATCGCAGATTCAAACTCACGTTGAATTGATTAAAAGGACAGATATAGATATGTATTTTATGTATCGTTATGCACTTTCATTATCAAGTTGAAAAAGCTTCGTGTCCATTGAATTACATATCCAACGTTTCTCTCGAGTTTCACTTTTCAAGCAGCATCGAGGGGGAGGATTCGAACCTCCCATCACGCCTAACTTACTCGTGTTTTACTGCGTATCATGTCTGTCGCATAATTGTTATCGCATCCCTGCCTTTGAAGAGGGTTTTCTTTTTGTTTTCTTTACGCACACACACGCACACACATACCTCCTCGGGACCGCAAATACACGTACGTAGATTGACAAGCTCAATCGAACGAAAGAGACGGTAGGCTGCCTGTTCTCCTCTTTTACGTCGTTCGTGAGAAATCGATGGAAACTGACGTTGAAATTCGCGCTCCCCGAGATTGTCTCTCGGTGGCGAGCGTAAAACCTTTTTCTCTCTTTCTCTTTCTCTCTCTCTCTCTCTCTCTCTCTCTCTCACCCTATCGTACGACGTCGTAAAGAAACGAGGAAAAGAACCGAGGAGAAATAAAAGCGGATGGAACGCGGCAGGCTGTCGTCAATTTTAACGACGCCGTTCTTTGCCCGATCGGCCACTCTCTCTCTCTCAGGCACTTTAATCGAGCCGGAAACGCGCGAGGCGAAAGAAAAAAAGAAAACAGGCTAAACTTAGAGAAAGAGGCGAGTAAGCCGAGCGAATCGTAAAGTCGTGCCGGGCTTTTCCGCCTCTCCCACGTCGGTCCCGATGTTAACCCGTCTGTTAAGAAAGCCGAACAATTGCCACTGTTATTAATGTGCCTTTCCTTTCTTTTTTTGTAGGGGTAGGGCGTCCCAAAAGTAAGTTGACTCTCTAAAGAAGGTTGTTTATTATACACGTCAATAATACTTTCTTTGTTCTTCGGCCGCTCTCACAAACAACCCCCACCCCCCCCAAGGCCTTTCACAAGTCCGCGCTTCTTTTCGAATTTTTTGGCGGGAACGAGACGATGCCGTTTGTTTCCTCGATTCTTCGAGATTCGTTTCACCGTTTCGGCACATTAGGATTCTGTCTATTTCAAATGCACGCTTTACGACACGATAATCTGTAACAACGAATCGAAGGAGAGTTACTCGGTGCTCGAGTGAATCTTTCAATCGAATTGATTGGAAATCGAACGATTCATCGATGATTACGATGAATTAAAATTCCATTTTTAGAGAGTGTACCTCTTATTAAAATTTACAGACTTTACTCAGTTGAAAAGCGAAAGGGGTTTTGTCAGAGACTCTTGTCCTCGTGAAAGATATTCAAAGATGCTCGCAGGTGATTAGAATTTATTTTTGGCAGAGGTTCTTGACCAACAATTAATCAGCCGTGTTCTTAGACGTAGGCGCGCGCACGTCTATTCTTTCGTTTGAATTTTTATCACATTTAAAGAAACTGTTCAAGAATTAATTGTTTTTGCTCGATAATTTTAAACTGATTTTCGATTAAAGACGGTCGTGTACATGTTTCTAGAGAATAAGAATTCTTGCGTCAGAGATTTCTATCGTGTTTAAAAGCTATAAATTCGTAAATAATTAACTACGTCCACTCTTGAGGCTCTTGACCTCGCGTGCACGGACATCAACGTTGTCAAATTTGTTAATAAATAAATTTGAGGATTTGTCCAATCGAAAAGTGAAGTTTTAAGGCTCTTGACCGTATTATGGGGCGGCAGTTGCATAAGGGGTGCGCGCAACTAATATAACTTGCGTCGGCTGGACGATTGCCAAACGTTTCATAAATATGTGTACGATAACGTAATGCAGTTTATTCTTATACCAAAGCTGCGTGTTGTCCGTTCGGAATGTACCACGTTCCGACGTGATGTAATGTAATTGACGAACAAACGGTTCGGTGGAAAAACACAGCCATTGTCAGCTCGGATGTTTATTTTATGCCAAGCCTCGGTATTAATAATAATTCCGAGAGTGTGTGTGTGATTCACTCTAGAACACAAACTCTATCTCTAATGCGACAAAAAATTTACAATTTCATCCAAACTTTCTATCATTATCGCGCAACAACTTCGTAATTTCTCCATTGTTTAAAATAATTCGTAATAAATTAATTTTAATTAATTCGTAATCGACGTATTCGATGCACGTTATTTTACGGTAAACGCGAGTTTCATCGACGGCCAGAGATTTGTGTTCTGGAGTTGAATCGAAAGAATAATGTTCACGTGTCTTTTAATAGCAAAGGAATAAGAAACAGTGTGTCGAAGAAAAGTCTGCTGTTCCCTTTCACAATATGAATAAAATGCGCAGTAAAGGTATACGTACGTTCAATATTCACCATCTCTTTGTGAAACTTGAAAACTAAATGTTCCTTTTGCTTCATTTGCCACTTATTTGTTTTCTCCGATTGAAACCCCGTGTTTTATACGTTTCATACGTTTTTCTTCCGTTAGACTAGTATCCGTTGGAATTTCCACGAAGAAAATAGTAACTGTTAATTGTTAATTGTTAAATGACATACGTGTCTAACTTGTACGTAATGTGAAGTCTCGATCCCGCCAAAAAAACATGATGTGAAATATGGTCTAATAATTGGTGATCAGTGTTCGAAGCAAAACCTCCCCCCCCCCCCAAAAGCTCATGTTTCTCTCTTTCTATCTATCTCTCTCTCTTTTTTCCCCTCTTCTCTTGTTTTTTCTTTTTGTCTCTCTATATTCTTTGATTAATCACGAATTAACGGCTCTGTACATAATCACCGTGTGTCTGTTACACGCGTACACTTATGTGCATACATACATACGTGTCCACGAGTCTGCTGAAGACCGATTTTTCTCACCACTGTTCGTCTCGTTTAAAACGTTCACCCAACCTTGATGTCGTGTTTTTTTGTCACCTGCGTTCTCCAGAAAAAGTCGTGTTTTTCTTTCTTTTTTTTTTTTTTTTTTTTTTTGGTTTCTCTTTTTTTTTGGTGATCCCCCAGTCTTACCCTTTCTTTTCTCTCTCTGTCATCACCGTTCGACTTTGCGCCCATAATCAATCGACCCGCAGCAATTGTCGCAGAAAGATCGGCGAGGTCGCTGAATTTTTCTGAATCCTCTCTAGGCCACGAATGTTTTCACATATTCAAGTATACTTCGACGCGAGTCATTTTACGCCGGACAGTTTCATAATTCACGGTTGTGCAACATCGCGTTACACTGCCAACGATGTTGAACGCTGTTTATTATATTGTCGTTTCGAGTCGTCTGATCAAACTGACCGAGAGCAACTTTTTGGAAACGATCCCACTCGGTCAGTTTCATTTTTCGAAGCGAAACCTCTCGCGCCGAACTTTAATTTTTGTCTCTCTTGAGTTTGAGGGTCTCGCTTTCAGATTTCAACACGTTCAGTGCCACGTGTACGAAAATTTTCAAATTATTCGTATTAACTTGCAAGGTATACATTTTTTTATGTCGTGTGTCAAAAATGGCGGCGTAAAGTGGGCACTGAGCGTGTCAACCATTGATCCTTCGGTACTGCATTTTGAGAGGACAGACTTTCACAGACAGATTCAGCAACCTCTGGAGATGACACGATCGTCATCGAAACTTGATGTTTTATGTAAATTGGCCAGCTCCTCGGCTTTCGACTGTGGCTTTCTAAGGCGTTGTGGATAATAATCGATAATGAGAATGACGACAGTGATGACGCTGATAACGGCGGCGAACCGTGTGTGTTGCTTGCAATTGAGTTGTTTGGGACAGAAGAAGAAAAATGTCTGACGAGAAGAAGAGTGAATGCTAGATTGCTCTCTGTGCTCTCCAATTCTCTCCCGATTATCCTCTATCATCATCTTTGTGACATTGCAAAAAGATCGACTTTTATACGATAAAATAATGCATATTCCCTCATTGTGAACATTATTACGAACGTTATATCTTCAAGATTCACAAGTCGTTCGTTATTATTTGTCCTTAATTGTATTATACGATATGTTATATATACGTAATATTATTACAGATACACTGTTGTACGTATGTACAACATATATAATATTATAATATTATTGCAAATCTTGTCGAAGATTCATCATTTTCATATCATTTTCAGATATAAAAAACTTTAAGTATTCTTGTTCTCTCGTTGTACGCTGTTCAGATCTGTCGAAATTTTCTCTTCGAACCTGCTGAATTGCTTTCTTTCAAATAATAAAAAAAAAAAAAAAAAAAAAAAAAAAAAAAAAAATGCTTAATCGCTTCGTTCTCGAGCGGCTTTGAATTACATTTTCTTTTCTTCCAGCTGAAAGAACTAAAACTCGAACCCGGTGTCCAAACATCCCGTATGTCTCCTCCATCGTCGAGATCTAAAAACCCACCAGCCGTCTATTTTCCCTCGTGGCGGAATCATCTTTAAAATTAGAGATCCTTCCTTTATTTTAAAGTTATCCTGGACCCGATCCACGTGATGTAATTTGATCAACGATATCGCGTCTTCACATTCGAGAATACCCTGAATTTTGAAATGTCTCCAAATATTTGGATAAAGCGGCTCCCTTATGGCTTTTACTTTTTATTCTCGGCATTACTCATCTATCGTCCAATATCTTTTCTATCAATCTTTCACTTGTTACATCGAAAAATGTCAATAAATCTTATTTTGTTTATTATATGACATATCTCACATTAATATGACCAAAAAACCAAAAGACAGAAACTCTTATGTGTCTTATGAGAATAAAAAGATTATATCGTTCTACTTGACAAATTCTCTCGTTGCAAGTCAGACTTAAGTACTATTCAGAAAGCTATGTCTCTACAATGGTCAGCGTTACAACTTGGTGATTCCACAAAGAGGAACAATCCCCAAAGTTCTCGCTGAATTTTCGCTCTTTTACTCCCGCGACTAGCTGAATAAAAATTCAAGTGACGGCGCAATTCTCGATAAAACCCTCCATCAATTTTCCAATATCCTGTTCCGCGGGAGTCTAATGGATTCCCCGGCAACAAACTCATCGGTTTCCCTCAACCTTTGTAAACTTATTAATGTCCCTGCTCCCTCGCCTACACCTCACTTTCTTACATCTAATTGCGCCTAATTCACTTCTCTCTCCACACGCTTGAACAAAAAACTTTTTCAACTTTCTCTTCTGTCTGTCCGTCCATTCGTCCGTCTGTCCGTTTGTTGCGTGTGCGTCTGTCTGTTTGTCTGGTTGTCGTGTACGCGTGACGAGAGAAAACTAAAAAAAAAAAAAAACAAAGTGACGAAAAAAAAAAAAATATATATATATATAAAAAAAGTGAATTATTCGTCACGAGAGAGAATGGATGTAATATATAGTGGAAAGTGGAACGTGAGAGTGGCGTATCGGAGTTCTGGAAGATCTTGCGAGATCTCTCAGAGGACGAGCGACAGGAACTAAAGAGAGTTACTTTTGTTTTCGCTCCGGCCTACATCAGGGAGTCTGGGGAGAATCCCGAGTTTATGAAGGTGAGGAAAAGATCTTACGAGGATGTCGTAGATACGATATATCGGGGATTGATTTAGTACCAGCGTTTATTTACATTTTGTCTTCGTTTTCCCGGCTGCGCGCAGAGGCAAGAACAGAAAAGGAGCGACTTAGACGAACAGCTCAAGGAATACATTGCAGAATGGCGGAAACAGAGGGCCAAGGAAGAGGAGGAACTGAAGAGATTGAAGGTTTTTTATAAAACAGTCTTATCGTTAGATCACCTTTGTCATGTTGTAAAATATCTTGAAATTTCATTGGTAGTTTAATGATTATTTGAAAGTGTATAGCTGTTGTAAGCATACACTTCGTGAAAATTGTAACATTATTTGAACAGTTAATCATTTGAGCACACACTGTAGAAAACATTCTTATTACATTGGACTAAAACTAAAAGTTGAGAGATATTTATTGCAAACGTATGTCTAGCAAAAAAATTAATAACGTATGTTAAAAATGATTCCAGTTAATATCGGAGCTTATTATCGAATGCAATACAATGCAACAATATGCTGCATTTTCGTATTCGTTCCAAACTTTAGCAATATAAGCACGATGCTCACGTGTTTCATTACAGACACACACAATGAAATTTAAAAATGTTTCGTATCGTATACATTCATGAAAACTATGCAAGTATCTTCCGATATATATTCACAGATCTGTCGATTTTTTTCTGTCCGCAGGAGAAGCAAGCGAAGCGCAAGATCACTCGCGCGGACGAGGAAAAGAGATTGGCTCAGAAAAAGAAAGAGGAGGAAGAACGTCGTCAACGTGAAATCGGTGAGTTTATTTTGCCCCGATCACTCTTTTCCCGTTCTGACGTTGCTTGCGGGGATTATACGATTTCCTCTCTGGAGAACTTGCTGATGTTTTCTTAAACTTTCAGAGGAGAAGAAACAACGCGATATAGAGGAAAAGAGAAAGTACGTATTTATCTCTAAATTTCATACATAAATATATTAACAGATTGCGAATTTTTACGTAAAATTATATTTTTGAAGAGTAGAAAGCACTATTTTGTGCAATTTTATATTTTACAATTTTCTACAAATTCGTAAAAATTCGCAGTTTATATAACAAGATAAATGACGTGTTTGAAATGTAAAAAAAAAAAAAAAAAAAAAAAATGGCTAAACTTGCATAAAACGGATTCATTTGTTCAATACGATGTGTTGTGTAGTCTTTTTTTATTTAATTTAATATTAAATTATTGAATTTGCTTCTTTGATGATCAACTATATCGCTGGTGTAAACGAGGTGTCTCAATAATTACGACAGACGACGTATCTTTTTGAAAATATTTTCGCTGAAGCTTCGGTTTCTTCAAATGCAAATATCTTCGTTTCTTTACCCTTTATCGAGACTTCGATTCTCTTTAGAATTTTTGTACAATTCTTGTCGTCGAAAGTTAAAATTAAAATTATTAAAATTATTATTATTTGTTAAAATTATTTATTACAATTATTATTATATTAAAATTAAAATTGTTAAAATTATTCGTAACGTGCAATTTTCACGAGCAGAATTCTCTGCAACACAGTACGACAACTATGAATTCTGGAAGAATGGCTACGTTTAATGCGACACTTAGAAAATAGGAATTTGTCAACCTACAATGATCAAACCTATTGGAACGATTAATTAGAAAGATCCAAGTAGCAGGACGTTCATCTTTTCGCAAAGATTTCCAAAAGACATCTGGATGTCGAATCTAGACATTTCTAATCGTCTAAAAATAAATTCAAGGATATGGAAATGGAAAATCTGCTTCCCAGAAATTTCTAAACGACGCGGCGTGAATCATTGCGCCAGCGACAAACTAATTTGTTCAACGTTCATGATAGTTGGTAGACGCGCACGCTAATTTTCATGATTTTCGATTGCAGGAACGATATCAGATCTAACGCAAACGTTATTCTACCGAATGCTGCATCCAGGTCAACGAATGAATATAACACGTTGAAACTTTTACTCGTGTTACAGCGTATGACGATGAAGAAGATACTTAAACCCTATTAACGGTTGACATGTGTGGATATGACGAAACTAGAACTATCTTTAACAGAGTCTATGTAAATTGAGCTATCAGGATACCCATGACGTAAAAAAAAAAAAATAATATTATAGTTCGTGAAATTTGTAGCTATGTAGTTTAAAATGTTTCTAACTAACAAACTGTCATAGTATAATATACATAATATATTAGAGTATAATATATAATATACTATAGTCATAGTATAATATATAATATACTATAGTAATAGTATAATATATAATATACTATAATAATATAACATATTACGATCCTATTCGTTTAAAAATTCAAACGCTAAAGTTTTACTACGAAAACAAAATAGGATAACATCTATATATTAATCGATATGCAACGTTTTACCAGAATCTCAAATAAACGGTCAGTAAATAGTAAATTGCTCGTTGGGAAGTATCCAAAACCATTATTACTAAAATGTAAAACAGGACGTAGCATTTATTTGCGGAACAAAAAAAAAAATGTGTCTTTTATTCACAACATTGCCTTGTGTGCTACAACGTGAGTTTTTGTAATTTTCGATCTTCCAACAATAAGTTCTGCGAAAGTAGCGTTTAAAGCTGTTTTTAAACTAACAGGAAATTCGAAAAGCAACAAATTCAATTTTTTATCGCTGCCAATCTCGTATTGACAAGAATGATGAATATTTCAAAATAGAGTTCTGGTTGTAATTGTATTATATCTTCCAATTACTATTATAATATCTTCTGATTACTAACATTTAACATTTGAACCTTGGTTTGTTTGGTTGCTATTCTTTGATCAGAGATTATTTAGTATCTTTGGAATGCTTATTGTATTCTGCATTCAAAACAGCTGCTTTCAATGAATTCTGAATTTTATTCTTTTCTAATCAAGTTTTTTTCTCAACGTGTCCTCCATCTTGCAAATATCTGAAACTTTCAGAGTTTCAGAAATTCTCCCCATTCCCGACATATTATATTTTTCCAACTATTTTCACCTTTTCAGAAGCTTGAAAGCGTTCTTGCAAAGTCAGAAACTTTGAAGAATTTATCTAAAAACCAAAACTTCTTCGAAAAGTGTGTTTTTCCATCAGAATCCTGTTGGAGAGATGTGAATGCGAATGGCGCGTAATCTGACTGAAAGTCGAGAACGATTTTCAAAAATATCCAACATAAACATACATTTCGATATAAACGACTTGATATTTCTGATCTATTCATACATTACAAAGCATGTATAGTGAAGCACGTTTGTTACCGCTCATTTCGCCTATCGTCCAACAATTCTTCCAATGACATTGAAATTTCTTTTGTTAGTTCGATCTACGGAATACATACTGGCGACGTATGAACCGGAATCCTCTGTACATTGTCAATAATCATAAGATTAAGATTTCGAACCTATCATGGCACTTTAATCATCTATTTCTTGACAGACGTTTCTTGCGTGCATTTGAGATGTTTACAACTTGCAAAACGAAAAGATAGATCGGGGGAGGGTAACGACTGATAACAATAGCGAGGCAGCGTATGTGCAGGTGATGCTTTATCTCATAGCAGCATCTTCGAGTCACCTGCAGTGCCGATGAGCAATAGTCACGTGGACGTAGTTATCGGGAACGCATCAACGCTTCCTGGGTGCTAACCTATTTACCAGCACGATGCCGCGAGTTCTACGCCAATAAGATTCTCCGTTGATAGAACTCGGACGTTTTGCGATGCTGGCAATGACAGTTTGCATTTCGATTAAAGAATAAACGCGAGGAAGACACATTACTCCGTAGATCGAGAATTTAGAGTCTGATATTCGTCGCGAGATGACATGAAAAATTGTTAGAGCGTGGAAAGCATTGCACAATTTTTGCAATACTTCTAATATTCCTCGCTGACTATGGCTATTGCGAGTTTGCAATGTTTGCAGAGTAAAATAATTAATACAACAGGACACGTGATAATTAGATATTAACAATATTGAAAACAAGTTTTCATATCCGAATCGATTCAGAAATCAAAAATATCGACAGTTCGAGGAGTTGTAAAAATATTATATTAATAACGAAGAAAATTTGATATCCAAACGACATAATACAGAAATGAATTATAAATAAATGATTTACATTTGGATATTGCTGTTATTAAGAAATGTCTTTAACAATCTTGTTTCTGAACTTGTATTGAGCATTTTAAGTATTTTTTTCTGTTTTTCATTATTATCGTAAACGCATACCCTTCATTCTAATTCGAATTACAACAGGACAGATGACAATTAGATATTAACAATATTAAAAACAGTTTTCATATACGAATCGATTCAGAAATCGAAAATATCGACAGTTCGAGGAGTTGTAAAAATATTATATTAATAACGAACAAAATTTGATATCCAAACGATATAATACAAATGATTGTCAAAGCTGAAGAGTAAATGATTTACATTTGGATATTGCTGTTATTAAGAAATGTCTCTAACAATTTTGTTTCTGAACTTGTATTGAGCATTTTAAGTATTTTTTTTTTCTTTTTTCATTATTATCGTAAACGCATACCCTTCATTCTAATTCGAATTACAACAGGACAGATGACAATTAGATATTAACAATATTAAAAACAGTTTTCATATACGAATCGATTCAGAAATCGAAAATATCGACAGTTCGAGGAGTTGTAAAAATATTATATTAATAACGAAGAAAATTTGATATCCAAACGATATAATACAGATGATTGTCAAAGCTGAAGAGTAAATGATTTACATTTGGATATTGCTGTTATTAAGAAATGTCTCTAACAATTTTGTTTCTGAACTTTGTTGAGCATTTTAAGAATTTTTTTTTTTTTCATTATTATCGTAAACGCATACCCTTCATTCTAATTCGAATTGTCGAGATCAAACTGATTTAAATTCAACGATAGGTTCAACTTACGCTGATCGAACAAAGAAGAATTTCACATTTAACGATTTAGAATGTCTATTCGTGACGCTAATGTAGAATTTCGAAAGTCACGTTAGAAAACTAAGATTAAAAGCGATTTAAGTGCCAACGGAATGGGTGGTACAGTCGATATAATCAATTGATGATCGACGCCGATGCCTCGAATTCTCGATCCAAGCACAGACACCGTCCTTCAAAAGGTTTTTTTCGCGATATTGTGCCACGGCTATCGAGCCAATTTTCAATAGAGACGAATCAGAAGTGCACATACATTGCACCCTTCCTTTGAAAAATTTATTAATTTTATACGACGGCTTCCGTTGCGATGTATTAAACTCAGATTATAAAGGAAATACAATTAATTTCATCTGTTTAGACTTTTTAATTTCTGTGCTATCTGATAGCTTAAAAACAGGAATATACGTAGGAACATACACAGAGTGTTCCAACATTGGACAATTCTACATGAAAAGATAAATCGAAAGGAGAAAATAAAATTTTTATTATCGGGACACATGATAACTGCGAAACATAAAAGAATTACGATAGCTTAAAAATATTCAAGAAATGGTAAGCAAAAACCGAAAGAATAATTTATAAAGGAGTGAGTAAAATGTACACTTAATCAGAAAACTAAATAAAAAGATAACCCCGACAAATGGTGATATCGATTAAGAGCGTTTGAAACTTTAATATTGCTGTCCTATGAAAAATGGAAAATATGACTCATTGTATTTTCTTCGTGTCGTCATCAAATATCTCGTTGTTACATTTTAGCTGTTCGATACGCTATGCTTTTATCCATTGTTTTATTTTCGTCGCGTGCAGTACTGTCGAACAATAAATTAAATAAAAATTAAATAATTTAATAAAACGGACCTCGTGTATCTTTCTTAAAAAAATAAAAAATAAGAGGAAATGGATGAATTTAATTTGCAACAAAATGAAACGTCACGTCGAGTGTCTTCGATTTAATGATTATAACAAACGTGAATGAAAAGTGTACTTTCAAGTATTGTGCACTATCAAGATATTGT